TGTTTAATGTATGAATTTCATAGTAATCGATTGTTATTTTTATTTAGTAATGAAAAATATACAAACAACTGAGGTTGCTTTATTTGATTTTCTCTGTAATTCAATTTATGATAGCCGATAAATATTTTTATGAGGAAATATACATTTAGGCGACTGATAGATAATAAGTTTCTCCAAAACTAATTTAAAACCAAAAAAATTAGATCATTCAATGAACATTTGAAAAAGTGATGTTCTAGATGTTTGATCGATTGTCTGTATCTACCCTGCTGTTTTAATGATACAATTCATGATCATAAAATTAATAAACTTTCAATATCTCAATGAGTAAAAGAAAAAAACAAAAATTGAATTTCTGATATGATTTGACTTTGTGTAAGCTACTTCTCTAAAGAACAAATAAGTAAACAATTCAAAACGTTCAAATCAAATATAGGTCACAAGTAATCTGAACACATCTGTTAGGTCAATTCCATCATTCTGTTGTCATGTCATTTTGTTAAACATATATGTGTGTGTTCAGGTGTATATAAAATCTGATGTAAAAACTGTAATTCTTATTGTTTAGACAAGTAATTTAGTTTGTATATACATTTGTGGTGTGAGACGTTGTTGCTAGGTTTATTTTTACAGGTTATTTAAATTGATTGCATATGAAAGGTTTCCTTTATATAAATAATGCTCTAGATTTCAGAAAAAAAAATGAAATTCTCAGAAAATGTACGTTTCTTCTTGAATATTCTAAGTATTAATGATAGCATTATCTAATGACCTGCCTCGACTGGTTCCTCATTGTATATTTGATTGAAGACTGTAGTAGACTTGAATGAAAACAATATTCTTCATTTAGAAATCTTTTTCTAATCAGAAACCGATCAATTTTTTTTGTTACGATTCAATGTCACACTTCTTAAAATTAATACAAATTATATTGACTACTGATTTGTGAAAGTAGTAATTACGTAAGAACATCCTCTCAACATTTCATGAATCATAAATGATAAGATTATTTCGATAATCTAATTAGAAGACGAAGATTATCGGAACCATGTGATATATTAGAGCAATACATTTCGAACAATCTGATTACACATATACTTGTTAAGAGCATTTATATATAAAAAAAATAAAAGGTCAACTAGACTGGAAACGGTGTAAGAGAAGATAAGGATAATGATAAGAGTAATAATAATAATAATAATAATAATAATAATAATAATAATAATAATAATAATAATAATAATAATAATAATAATGTGAACACAATTTGTAACCTAATCACTCTGGATAAGAAGTCAATATTACCAGGGTAGGTAGGTAGGTAGGTTGTAGTAGTAGTGTGGAGTGTGCTACTTATATTGATGTAAGTAGTATATTATGCGAGTCAGGAACGCAATATCTGGCAGCAGAAGATGGGGGAAAAGATCAAGAAAAGTAGAGCGAGAACACAATGAAATTTGTTAGAAAACGCATGAGCAATGGAATGGGAGACAATGGATTGATATTTGCAACAGAAACAGTCCAGTTTGATATGATGCATTAATATTTTGCAAATTGACGATTTACTATATGTTATTCAGATTTTATTGAAATAGTCTGTAATTTTCGTGTTGTCTCACCTGTGTTCTTGTTCACTACAGTAGTAGTAGTACTAGTAGTAGTTTCGATCATTCTTGCGACCTGTTTCAATTATATGTTTAGCAATAGAGGATAATGGATGTTTATCCTCTGCTCTTATTCGGTCACCTGGTTGTATTTGTTTCTTCAGCCATTTGGGTACATGTTCACTCACCCTAACGTTGAGACCGCGATCGCTCCTCCCTATGTTTGTGTGACCACACACACATTTAAATTGGTAAACACAGTGGGATGTGACACAATAGTTTTCATGTCTTTTAGGTTTTGAATGAAGCATAATAATATTATTGTTATTATTTTAATTATGAACAACAACAAAAAACCCCTCAACAACCTGAAATCTACTTCAATATAAATTGAAACAAATTTTATTTGTTAATGTTGTTCTGTTGCCTAGTTAAATGAAATCAAAAGTCTTTTCTTTTTGTTCAATGTTAAATCATAAGTAAAACAAATTATACATAGTAGTTTTGACAGTCCACTTATACAACTATTCATTTTTATGGTTGAATGCTAAATAGACGTCAAAAAGTCGTAATATATAGATTATCTGAAATCTCCATAGAATAATTATAATCGTAATAAATGAAATTGACCTAGTTCATTATTAGTTTAGTTTTAATATAGATTAATTTTATTTTAATTATGCGAAAATTGGATAAAAAATAAAGTATGAATAAGATACAGAATAAATCTTTTAGTGACCCTATATTAGCTGACTCCAATTGGATTGCATACTGATTGTCATTAAAATACACATGTCGGCTATCCTCGTACATAATCCTCGAGTTAAATCGCATTGGTGAATAACAGATACGGGAATAAAACTGTTGAATGCATTTATTTTGTACACTCACTGATCTAGACAGGAAATGAGAGGGATGAGGCGAATAAAAGAGAGCGAAGTGAAATGACACGCGGTGGAGAAGGCTTGTGAGCCAACTCTATTTAATCAAGCGGTAATCAATATTTATAGTCACAAAAAAATAAGTTACAAACATGTAATGAATAGGATAAAAAGTGCACACACATATACGACCACATAGAAACAGTCAAGATTGATAAACGAATAGTTAATTAACAAGGTCAAAATGTGTGACTCAAGAAGAACGGATAAACTGGCCTGTCCAGAAGCTAGAAGAAAGTATATGGGCCTAACATAGCAACCGACACTACAATACAGTCACTTGTTAAATCACAGAAATATAACTTAGATGCTTTTTTTACCGATTACGATTTGATTGTAAAGAACACCAACGATAACAACAACAACAGCACATAAATATTCAATAGATTTTTTGACAGTTAAAACGAAATACATATATGAATAATTAGGTTTCCTACAACTAATAAATACCAAACGAAATGGCATCAATCTAGAGATAGGTTCGATCTAGTTTTGTATTAACTTAGTTGTACTTTCACTTGTAAAGTATCATCAAAGTATGTAACAAATTTACTCTTCCCATTTTACACAGATTCAAGGATTTCTCTCTGCAAATGGAATTACATCTTGACTACCTATGCTTACTACTTCATTTTTAAAAATGAGTAGAATGTGACTAGATATTTAAAGTGATGAAAAGGCAATTGACTGAAATTTTTTTATATAGGCATTGACACTAGTATTCACATATAACTTAAGAAATTCATTTACAATTTCTTCGAAATTTGTTCGAACAACTTTACAATGGTATCAGATATTAAAAATGGAAGCCATATTTGCAAAAAAATTCGAGACGTGAAAATTCTTCGAAGAAACCATATTTATCCAAAATTAGAAGTAACACTAATGTTTGATTCGGCAGTCTTTACTCAGCTTCGTTGGGGAAATGATCAGAAATCAAAAATCATCTAACATACATAGGTTCCATAAAACAACCGCATACTGAAACTTTTTCCAACCATGTTAAGTTGTTGAATTTGGAATTCATTCGTGTGAATACAAGTCATGAAGTGTGATGAAACTGTAGTAACAGAATAAATTTGTACATTTGTATGAGGATGTGATATGCCACAATTATTGATCGTGCAGTCTGGCATAAAATTAGTGTGCAAAAATTAACTTAAAAGTTCTGATCTATAGGGCAATTGAGAAAGGTCTTTTAGATCACAATTGATAACGGTGGTTTAGTAATGCTAATTATTGATAACCAAAAAACGTGAACTATTGTATCCCAGCTCAGTGATTTACAGATTACTAATTTTCCGTGAAGAAGTAGTACCACAGATTTGATTTTTATTTGGATGGTAGTTACACAATACTGAGGAATTCCGTATTAACTTAAAAGTAGCACGAAACTCAGATCCAGGGTTTCCTGTCGACTACCTCCAACCACCATCTAATACCCATGTAAAGACAGATAAAAACGTGCATAAAATGAGAGGTCACTATTAACCATACAAGAGTACATACAATGCAACAAATAAGATTTCAACTGTCATATAGATATTCCTCTTTGTATCAGTTTACATAAAGGCTTTTATAAGTCTGTCATGTCAAATTACGATATATTTGCAATGATTACTAAGTTTCAAGGACAAATGGGTTTTTAATGGCACCTTAGTGATGAGATCATGAACCTAATGAGAAACGCAGGTTCACAACCAGCTAGAGGTACGTTTCTGTGACGAGAGTCAATTAGCACAAAACCAATTATCCCATACATATATCCTTTGATCAACAACCAAATAAATAAGAAAATTAAGTATGAATTAAAATGAGCGTACTGAAAAGCAAACAATTAATCACCCTACAAGCAAGGCTAGAACGTCTTATGTAGTTTAGCTTTTAAGCTTACTGTCCGTGTGAAACTGAATGACACTATTTGTATTCTTTTCGAAGAACTTAAAACTTTATGGGTTTACTGTTTCGTTCAGATTTTTATACTTTTCAATCGACCATGAAAAACAGAAATATCAATTTTACCATAGTTGGGAGTTAAAAATCATTAATGAACTTCATTGTTCTCTTCGAAGAAATCTAAACACAAAAACGCTTTAAGAAAAGATAATTTCCTCCAAGTGAACATTTTAAAAAGTATGATATTTAGCAGTATATATCTGATTATTAAGTGGATCTTTATTTCTTTAATATTCAGATATATATTGTACTTAAGATCAGGTTATTTGAACTGATAGCTGCATTACAACTTAATGAAAAGAATTCGATCATTAAAAATTAGACCAACATGACATGGATTACTTTTCAGTGCTCAATCATTTCAGATAATAGTCATTTTTACTCAATCAGACATTATGGTAATTATACTGCTTATGAAATGTGTACACACAGCACTCATAATTGAAAACTTTAAAACTGACTTACATAAAATAATGATGGAAAAAATCATAAAACTTACTGAAATCACAAACGCAATTTGCTAACAGCGTATTTACACGAAATTCAATATGAGCATGTTTTTTAAGTTCAGTTTTAGCTGTAATCGTGTCACGACTGGCTCTTGATTCCAAAAGTAACATATCTTCACACTCTTGTAACCAGCTGCGTAGTTCTGCGAATTCACCAAGATGTGTAAAACATTGAAAGCCTATATTTAATCGTTCAGTACGTTTGGACATTCTATCAACTAGGTTTTTTAAATCATGACGCAATTCTATAAGTAACATGTGCAAATCGATAAGAATTTTCCTAGGGATTTTATATTTTACACCTATATCAGTTGATAATTCAATTTGAATATAATTATCGTCTGTTTGAATGGTAATTGTTTTCTCAGACGGTCTAACTTTCGATTGCTGAGTTGTTTTACAATAATCATCTATGACTACTTCAAACGTTGACTGAAATTTCGTAATAATATGATCTGCATCCTAAAAACGAAAATAAAACGAAATATCAGATAAATACAATTATTTATCGTTATAGAAAACTGAAATAAACTCCAAAAAAAAAATTTCTGTGAACAAATCGCAGTAAATGGGATTGTTTGATTTACGCTACTACAAATAAATGCCAAATAGTGATTAATGGAGATAAGAACGCATGATTTCTACTCTTTTCTGATTATCATTTACGTTGGATATAAAAATACCCTGTGATAACCAACTGAAATGAATAAACTTCCTATTACTGTTCTAAATAATAGAGTATTTTATTTCATCCTGAAAATCTTTGTAGAATATAATCGCAAAATTACGTTATTAAATTAAACGGAAATCTAAAAAAAATATTAAAAACTAGATAGTCATTTAAGTGAGCGAAAAATAGGTTTCAGGCCAAAAACCATTCATAACTCGACAAGGAATAAAACCTAGGAGAATAGTGTCTCTTGACAAGTGAATCAACCGTAGACTACTGAGTTAGAAATTCATCGTCTCTACTTTCATTTCCGGTAACGTACGTAATATTCAAAATGAATAATCCAATCATTTTAAAAAAAGTAGATCCATTGACCTGTGTAGAATGTCTTTTAGACCTTGAGTTAACTCAGGAGAGTTTAAAAGAACAAATAATTAGACATCAGTATACACAGTTTGTAGTTACAACTACTTAATGTAAAAAACTAGATTATTTGATTTCATGACTCTTTTCGAACATAAACTACTTGATTCCACGTGTTTCACGCATATGTTAAAAATATAGATCTACATATAAATAAATTAATACATTTGTAATATCTCAATGAGTAGAAAAATTAAATTTTCTGACGTTTCGTGACTCAGAATAAGCCACTTATTCAGAGAATCAGAAAGTCAAGAAACGTCGAAAAATTTAGTTTCTCTACTCATTGAGACATTACAAATATATTAATTTATCTATAACAATCTACCTAATGTTCAATTTATTTGAAATGATCAAGTCAAAACTTGATATTGATACCTATAGATCTTAAATAACACGATTTCTATCATTTTCTGATACATTAGCAATAGGTCATTGACTGATTTGATACTCAGGTGCTTTTAACCACATCCAACGAGTTTCAGTGGAGAAGAAACAGATATATAGTTCATTATGTTCTCAGTTGATATTATTATTTACAAAAACCCATTCGGTTTACAAATAACTTGATAAAGAATATGCAATCATCTTTAAGAAAACAGTCTTTTCAACTTTTTATATTGAAACCAAGTACTTAGATACACAAATAAATTTGAAAAATAAAATGTACAATGCAATGCTAAATAATAGCACATTAGATCAATGTAAGTCGTGTCGAAAATAATAATCTCATACCAAATAGCATGAATGCTCATAGTTTGGAAATTTACCCACTTGTATCTCCATTTCCATTCTATTTGTCCTATTGGCTATTTCTTTTATGAGTAATCGATGTTGCCTGATCAGCTGATTTACAGCAAATAAGGAGCGACCAATATAAGTGTTATCGGCTAAAAGAAGTTTTTCATGAGTCCAAATCCGCTCATTTTCCAAATCTCTGAAAAAAACATTCATTAATAATATTCAGGCTATTTAAAGCTGAAGTACACTTTTTCCGTAAGGCAAATTATTATTGAAAAGTGATCACATACCATTTATTTATACACTTAGCATCGATAGAACAAATCAAGTTATGGAGACTATACAAGTGAAACTATTTAAATTTAGTTAAACCATCAATAAAAACTGAGTTTTATGGAATAACTTCATGTTATTCCTCATTGTTAAACATATTTAAGCTTGTTAGAGTTGTAACACATAAGGGACGTTAAATGTGGATTCGTCTAACTTGAATCTAAATGACCTTATATTCTTTTGAGTTTCCATCGTCAAAAAAGTTCTACTGTTTCACCTTAAATTAATCACATCCAATATTATATAAAATTATATCTTTTGAGAATACTAATAAAACATAATTCTGTGTCACTTTGCTCATAATATGCACCTTAAAGAGTGAACTGTTCTTTTCCACTAAAAACATCATGGAATGCAGTTTTACGGTTTTACATAATTATGGCACATAAGTGACCTGGATAACCTTTTGTTAGAGTCTCTATTTAATTTTGATAAAAAAAATTGTATCTAATTTTATAATTTTAATTGAAAATGAATTAATTTACATATTACACATGTTAGATTTTGTTGTCAATGAGCAAAGATTTACGATCTAATACCCTTCACTCTGTGGATGGCAGATTCTCAAAAGTTTATATTTCGTTTGTATTACCTCAGAATACCTCAGCATAATCGCGTGCATAAAGATATAAATATTTATTTGTTTACGCTCTGATAATTTAATTGAACAGGATTGTTTATTAAAATGAATGTAACTGGTCTCACACGCAATAAATAAAGCTCAATTTTAATGAAGACATGTTTGTCTAATTAGGTCAATGGAATCCTCTTATCGATTTGGTTCGGATATCACGCTAGTTTAAAGGCTTTTCTCAAAAAAACTGTGTATAATGTTGTTTAATACTATTATTTTTGTGACAATGGTCAAGAAAATTATAATTCATCAATGATATACGTTTTTTGAATTAATGATATGGAAACATTTCCACTATAGTACTAACTATATATATAAAGCTATTCAATAGTTTATAAATTTAATAGTTATGAATCAATTAAAGCTAGACAATCATGAAAAACCTGGAAGCAACGAACGGTTGCTTCGTCCCACCAGTTCGCATTCACGATCCCGCTTGCGAGATTCGAACCCAGCACCAATCAATCTTGCGTGCGAACGCTTAACCTCTTTACCACATAGTCGGTATCGAATGTTATCAGTGTCTAACTTCAACCAATCCATGGAATTGAGCCATCATCCACCATTGTCTTTAGTGAGTTACTATCTCACAACAGGTTTTTCATGGTGATCTAGCTTTAATTGACTCATAGATGCAATTATTAAATCACTACAATATCCACAAAACGTCTTTCTGATCATTTATAAATTGTTTGATGATGATTACGAGAGCGATTATAACGATTGCAAAAATTACCTATAAAGCTGATAAATGTGCTTTTGTGCTTTCAGTTCTTCAGCATGTTCATAAACAAATATTTGAATTTTCCAAAATTTCTTGATTAAACTCTTCATTTTTGACTCTGCTTCAGTATTCTGATTTTGGTTATCAAGATTTGATAGGATCTTGGAATGTTCCTGGAAGTAATGCAAATTGGGTAAATCATTAAACTAAGACTATTTAAAATTAATTTAATAGAGAATGATTGATTTAGTTGTTATCTGGATTCATTCATTTACCTCTCAAAATACCTAGTAGAAAGTTCAGACTGATGGACTTAATTTACATTGGAAGATAGAAACCGTTGTTTGTATCTTACAATCGTGTGGCTGTATCAAGAGATGAATGAGATTAAACATGTGAACGATTGAAATTCAACTTAATAGCTTAAAGGTTAAGCAAGCTCATTGACAGACCTATAGACGTGACCATTGAAATGTATTTATTATAAGTAATCCCTCACCTCTTAGTTGCAGTTCAGCCCTATCCACCATAATTTCCGAACAAATTGAGGTAATAATCATTAAGTATTCATTTATTCAGTATTCAAAATAGAATTTCATGATAAAAAGCAAATTGAGAACTTTAATGACATTCAGTTCTCCTAAGCCTACAGTGTCAGTTTTGATAACTGTGGTTATATTACTGACATTGATATTTTCTGCTTACAATTTTTTCACACATCTCTTAAAGAAACAGGAAAATGTAGACATTTGACTTTCTGCTTTGTCTTTGAGGCACTTATCACTATTTGTGATACCACTTTTTGCTTTCTAGTGAATACATATCTTAAATTGAAGTGATCGATGATTTGACTTGTACATTTGTTCCTTAGTAAAATTTCGATATAAGTAATATATGTATCAGTATTGTGCAAAACAGTGTCGTATATCAATTATTAGGAACTGAATGAAACGCTACGATACACAACAATGATGACATTTACTCACAGAGTACATGATAATTAAAAAAATATATAAAAATATAGCGGAAGCATGAAATGATTGCATGGCAACAAGCACATTTAAAAAACTTTGCAATACAAAAAAGTGCATATGGATGAAAACTATTCAGATCAAGAAATCCCTTCATTGGAAATTGGTATGGTTATTAATTTCATAAGGAGTGTAGAAGTAAAGTTATAATATAATTCAGAAGCCATTAAGTAAGAAGTATTTGAGAATTACCATAATCTTAGTAATTGCAATGCTAACAATGCAAGTGTGTTCATTCAAAGTGTGTAAAGCGTGGAAAAAATGTAAGAGAAGCGTAGAACAAATAATAACTGACTTTCCCTATAAATGTGGTGTAAATAAATATAAATTTACTACATTTTCTTTTATGAAGCAAACTTCATATTCATTTATTTGTACCAGAATTTGACTGGTAAACTAATTGCGGTTATTTAATATACCAGCAAACATTATACATTAAAATGTGATGTGAATGTGAAAATAATGCAACAAATCAAAAGTGAATCATGAACATTCATTTAAGGAATTATATAAAAAATCAAAAATGTTTACAAAAAAAAGGAGGATACTTTCAATACCATAAAAAGTGTTGAAAATAAGGGCTTGAAGTTCAACGTTCATACTCTTGTCATTCACTACAGTCGATCAAAAAGTTGATTTGATGCAAAAGGAATACTCTTATTACTTTTTTATTCAAGGACATCTAGGCAATCAACATATCTATTTTTAAGCTACCTGATCAAGATACACTTCAAAAAAACGCGAGCGATTAAGTCTATTCGAATAGAACTAACATCCTACTGTGCACAAGACGAATTTTTTTATTGTCAATGTTCATTATGCCACTATCATTAGAGAAATATGTGGATAACAGATAGTTCAATCAACTGATGATCAAGTGCTTTATATTCATTACACATATTACCTCTGACAAAACTTACGAATATTTTATTTCATGGAAGTTTAAAGAAAATCATCCTAAATTGTCAGAACTTATTTACTTACTTACTAACTTACGCCTGTTACTCTTAATAGAGTATAGGCCGCCGACCAGCATTCTCCAACCCACTCTGTCCTCCGCCTTCTTTTCTAGTTCCATCCAATTCTTTTCCATTCTTCTCATGTCTATCTTCATTTCCCGGCGTAATGTGTTCTTTCGTCCTCCTCTTTTCCTCTGGCCTTATGGATTGCATGTGAGGACTTGTCTTGTGACGCAGTTGGGTCCTTTCCTAAATGTGTGTCTTATCCACGTCCAGCGCTTCTTCCTAATTTCTTCCTCCGCTGGGATCTGATTTGTTCTCTCCCACAGTAGGTTGTTGCTAATAGTGTCCGGCCAACGGATCTGAAGTATTTTGCGTAGACAACTGTTAATAAACACTTGTATTTTCTGGATGACGGCTTTTGTAGTTCTCTAGGTTTCCGCCCCATGCAGTAGAACTGTCTTGACATTTGTATTGAAAATCCTGACCTTGATGTTGGTTGACAGACAGTTGTTTTGAGTTGCAGATGTTCTTCATTTGTAAATATGCTCCTCTTGCTTTGCCGATCCGCGCCTTCACATCTGCATCAGATCCACCGTGTTCATCAATGATGCTGCCCAAATACGTAAAGGTTTTTACATCTTCCAAATCTTCTCCGTCAATTGTGATTGGATTGGTGCATTCTGTGTTGTATCGGAGAATCCTGCTTTTCCCTTTATGTATATTGAGACCTATTGCTGTCGAGGCTGCTGCCACACTGTTCGTCTTCTCCTGCATCTGTTGTTGAGTTTCGGATAGAAGGGCCAGATCGTCTGCGAAGTCTAGATCATCCAACTGCATCCTAGATGTCCATTGTATCCCGTGCTTCCCTCCAGAACTTATTTAGTCCACCAACTGTTTTTTATTTATAAAAAGTGAAACATATTTATTTGAAATGTTAACTTAAAAAACAATGTTAATTATTTTCAAAGAATTGAGAATTATCGATTTACAGTTATTCAGGTATCCTTTTATGATCATAAATATTCTGTATCTAAATAATGTGCAAAAACAAAAAGATTAGAAATACCATTCCATTCATAAATGGAATGATTTATATGTCGAATCATTTTTTTGTTTCATATGTCCTATAGGACATATTATTTGTTGCATTCAGTACAAATAATCATCAGTGAACATTGTATAATATATAGTGTTCTACTTAATCACATATGATTTCTTTAAGATCTAGGAAGATACTTAACATGAAAACTGTAATCTACATATTTCATGTTATAGGAAGAAAATAATGAAGCATGACAGTTTGATTCATTTCATAATGTGGTTGCTTTAAATATTTCCGAAAAATTACTAACACATGACATTAGTTCAGCTCATGTTCTACGATATTAGGATACATGAAAAACTGTTATTTGATTACAAGTTCTATGATAAAGTTTTCCTCACTCTTCCTTTCATCGATATAACTTAAAATATTATGCATAGTATGATGAGTTTTCTTTGACTTTAATTACGAATACTAAAAGAATTAATGATAGATGAAAATTTATGAAATAAATTGTTTAATGATCATCACAATGTACTTATAGTATTTCAGTGCGGACTATCCTTTCATCAGAAGTACTACTACAAACAAACTGTTATTTTATTGTTATCAATAGACAATTTAATTATCAATTTAGTTGAATCGTTTTGGCAGCGACAGTTAAGGGTTGAATGTGTCTGGCTTTACATTCTTTTATTACTGAAATCATTATCCAATTTACTGCGACACGTTTCATTATACAATTTGGTATGTTGAATGAAATGAATCTCGTTTAATGATCAGCAATTGTTAAATTTTATGATTTATGCAGTCGACAACCGTTACACTCAGAAAAACATATAAGTGTCATTAACTATTTTTTGAAAAAAAACTACATAAACTTAACATATAATATAGAAATTATAGTATTGCTCCTTTCTCTTTTGTTTAGAGAAAATATTTAAAAGGAAGTCATAATAACAACTATGATAGTTCAGCTTGTATTTTGTAGTCATTAGCTTCGTAATAAACTCTAATGTTTTCATTAAAGTCATGAGCACATATGGCTAATATGGCTAATTATTTAGTTAACGTAAATTTTTCACAAATAAAGTTATACTGTTAAATTGGAATAGTTAACTAATACATAACACAGATATATGGTAAGACCATTTTGATAATGAACATAAGTGTTATTCTTTTCAATGATTATTATTGTTGTTGTTCGAATACCTTCACGAATTATTTCAAAGAAAATTACATGTTTATCTTAGTGTTTTCTTTAATGACTGACATATTTCATATAACAAAAGTCTTCTAATCACTAGTTCCTTTCAAAATGTTGATTGAATACGTCAACCCATATATATATACTTAGCCGTGTACTTGTATTGCATAGAAAGTAATAAATGTCTTTAACATTGAACAGGAAATTAAAATCTATTCTTAAACAAAAAGTGGAACGAAATGAATAACAATGGAATATTGACTAATACATAAATTGTACATTGATTAGTTCTATGATGTATCATATAATAACATAATTTTCATTACATTGTCCAAAGGGAAACAAGATGAATTCATGACTACAAAAGGGAAGGTAATGTTGTTGTTTTTCTTTGGAACTAAATTTGAAAGGTGAAATAACAAAACGATAAAAACTTTGATTGTTTAATAAAATTATGATCATTCGTAACATTTTTTTGGGGATAATAAGAAATTTTATTTACCATTAAAAATAAGAATTATGATATGGAATATAAGAATTTCATAATATAATCCATTTATTTCATTCATCTGTAACAATATGTATTATTAAGCAATGATGGATAGTGGCTAGCAGTGGAATCCAGGACGCGCGTTTCGTCCTATTTGGAACTCGTCGTCAGCTGGATGTACCTGCATCTCAGACTTGATATTGACTGTGGGACTCAAACCCAGTACCCAGTACCATTATCGACTGCAGTCTTAAACCTCAATCGGAAGATACAAGCCAAACAATACCAAGTGAATATTTATTATTGTATCATTGTATTAGTTCTTATTTTCCATGAATAATTTTTACTACTGGTTATTGCTAATATCGCGTAGGTAAAAATTGTTTCCACTGATTCGTATATAAGAAAATGAGAATAATTAAAGGGCATATTTGTCAATAGAATAATTGATGATCAAATGGCATACTATAATGTCTAGTCTAATATTAAAACTTACTATTATCTCATCGAAGTGGTTATTGACAACGAATGTGATATCATAAATAAATTATAGTTTAGTTATTCAGTCATGAATAAAATACTCACAATTCACTTATCACTGTTAAAGATTTATGAATCTTATCCCAATTGTTTTTCAGTGAATCACTTCACTATTACATTTAGAGAACTTCCATAAAACTGAAATATCCATGAAATAATTGATTGTACAGCTTTGTTCTCTGAGCTAAATGGTTTGGTACTAAAGCTTTCATCGTTCTTCTGAATGACATCATCAGCACAAACTTCAGTCAGTCAGTCAGTCAGTAACAACGTAGAACTTCGTACGTACGTACATCAGTTCGAGTTGCCACACCACATTAGCACAGAGATGCACTTGTCGATTCAAATCCCGTAGTGATAGAGGTAATAAGAGTATAAGCAGTAATCGGGAAGATTAGGGTTTGGAGATGTTATTTAAAGAGTATAATCCAGTGAAAGAAATTTGGAAAGAGGAAAAAAGGGACATGAAGAATTCAGAAGATTAGAGTTTGGGAGAACACAGAGAGTGGATGCACCTGCGCCATTGCAAACGATTTTGAGCCATGTCATTCAGGGTCTCTAACCATCGGTTGCTGTCATCTCGCGGTCCCCAACCAGGTAGTCTACACCTACCAACATGACTCAGTTCACTTGTCAGTGACTTCATGGACTTGTGCCATGTTTTGGTTTGGCCGCCCCTAGCTTTCTTCCAACCTACTCCTATACCACTGAACATAGCACGTCGAGGCAGTCGGTGATTGTGCATACGTAACACATGTCCCAGCCATCTCAACTGATCAAGTTTCACTACTTCACCAATTGATTTGCCATCCATACCTAGTACCCGTTTCCTAACAACTGTGTTACTTACTCGATGGTCCCATGATATACGAGCAATGTTTCGAAGACACCTATGATCAAATACTAGTAACCTACGAATATCCTCTACTCTTACCGGCCATGTTTCACTGCCATAAATAGGATGGAACGAACTGCTGTGCAGTAAACCCGTCCTTTGCTTGATAGACGGATATCTCGCCTACGCCATAAATGACGCAAGTTGGCAAAAGCTAGTCGAGCCTTCTGTATCCGTGCTGAGATTTCGTCACACACCAAACCACAAGGGCTGATGAGACTTCCAAGATAAGTGAAGCGGTCGACACACTGAACTACTTCACTCCCTATCACTAGTTCGGGTGTCGATGTAACCCAATCCTGAAGCAACATTTTGCATTTCGAGGGAGAGAATCGCATCCCAAACATGCTTGCATTGTTGCTTAGAGTGGTCAGAAGACTCTGCATTTTGTCAGCGTCTTCACCAAATAAGACTATGTCATCTGCATATTCTAAGTCAACAAGTGAACCTCCTGGTAGAAGTTCAACTCCTGGAAATTTAGATGAGGAGAGTGTTATCTCTAAAAGTACGTCAATGACAAAGTTGAACAAGAATGGGGAGAGTGGACAGCCCTGACGAACACCACTTGAGGTAATCAATTCTGATGACAGTTCGCCATAAGCTCTCACTCTACCAGTTGTGTTCGAGTAGAGAGCCTTTATAAGGTTAATGCACTTCTTTGGTACTCCTTTCAGTGACAAACACTGCCATAGAACCTCACGATCAACGGAGTCGAATGCCGCCTTAAGGTCGAGAAATACTACCATTGTGGGGCGTCTGAATGTGTGTCTGTGTTCTAGAACCTGACGTAGTGTGAATATCTGATCGATACAACCACGTCCAGGTCGAAAACCAGCCTGGTTTTCTCTAGTCTGCTCTTCACGAGCTTTAGTTAGGCGTCGAAGTATTATTGAGGCACAAACTTCAGGTAGAAGTACAACTGATAGACTTTGTTATGGAACACTGGACAGTTTTAGGAATGTTTAAATACTTTAGTGACTATTCTAATCAACCAGGTAACTAAGAACTATTCCCTGATGTAACTAAATACTTGTATCTAAGGCCTACAAACATTTAAAATGTATAGTGTTTCATTTATAAAAACATTTATGAACACTGAAAAATACAAAAAATTTACATCTTACATGAAGTTCAACTAAAAGTTTTTTCTTTACATCAATGTTGATTAAACACTCAGTAATTTTGTTCAAATGAGAAGATACCTCATTCATACTAGTACAACCTGGTATATTGGCTTGATTGGTCCAATTTTGATTCATAAACTTATTTTGTATAAGATAGTCCAAAATGTTACTTGATGATTCTGTTGTTCCTTCAATCATTTTCATATTATGATTATATTCTGATGTGAATTGTTCGATTAAAGTTTCCACCATTATTGATGGATCTTGTTCATCATGTTCTTCGAATTGTTTTAATTGATCAAATGATTTAAAAGATAAAAATTCTATAAAAAATTTATCTAACCAACGATTTAATTCGTTGTATCCATCTTCAAATATAATCGCTAGTTGTTAAAGAAAAAAAGGAGAAAGAATATTACATTGGTATGATCAGAGTGATATAAGATTCAGCATGAGTGTAATCATATATAGATATCAATTGTCTTTTGGTTAGCAATAATACGTTTTAAGCAAAGATGGAATAGTGGCTAGCAGTGGAATTCAGTTTGACGCGCGTTTCGTCCTATTCGGAGGCTCATCGTCAGCTGGATGTACTTGCATGTCAGAGTTGATGTTCACTCTGGGACTCGAACCCATTACCATTAACTTCGAACGCCATCGCGTTATCCACTCAGCTATCGAGTCCTGATAGCCAATTGCTTGTGCAATGGGGTGAATTTGAATTCATTTGGTATTGTTTTACTTCAATCTTCCCATTGATGTTTAGGACTGAAATTGATCAGTCTCTTATTGGCGCACCGCCTGGATTCCACTGCTAGCCACTATTCCATCTTTGTTTATAAAGCTTTTAAATTAAGGCAATATCGAGGCAATACGCACAGTATGCACATATGCCAATAACAGACTGATTAATTGCAGTCTTAAACATCAATGGGAAGATACAAGCCAAACAATACCAAATGAATGATACGTTTTCTCCTATTTTTTTTAACAAGGATGTTTAATATTTCTACATTCCAGTTTTAAAGAAAACACTGAAATTTTAATTCAAATGTTGTTAGATTTTACTGCTTAGCAATTAAAATTTGTTTAACTGTTAGCCAAAAAAATATACATTTTTGAATCGAATATTCAAAGTGCCCATTTTTTGTCACATACTGATCAAATAAAGTTCAGAATGACAATCACTAGAAATTTTCATTTAAAAATGCCTGTAAAAGCGTAATATTACGTTTGAAGTCAATTTTTTGTTGTTGAAATCTTGCACTGAACCAGTTTTTACAAACCTCTATTGTTCTGTAATGAATATTTTCTTCGATAAAAAGTATTTTGGAAATAATACAACTCGACTCATAAAGCAACTTGATTTGTTTTTGATAACGATTATTACCATAAAATTACTGATTTTAACATAGAATAGACCATCGTGGAAAACCTAGGATCACTGGACGGCCGCTTCTTCCTAGTGTGGGAATTCTCAGCAATGCCCATCCATGACCCCGCTCGCGAGATTCGAACCCAGGACATATCGGTCTAACGCGCGGACGCTTAACCACTAGACCACTGAGCTGGCATCCAACGGCCCAGTAGGTTCTGGGTTCGAATCTTGCGAGACAGGGTCGTGGACGTGCACTACTGAGGACTCCCATACTAGGACGAAGCGCCCATCCAATGCTTCTAGGTTTTTCACGGTGGCCTAGCTTCAATTGACTCTTGAACTTAACTATTAAATAAGAATTCGAATCGAGCTGAATTTATGCGTAAAGTAAAATCTGAATGAAATTAGATTTCGTGAATATTTTATTGTCATAAAAGCACACTATATAGATGTTGCATTTGGTCATGAGTAATCTTGTGAAATGTTCATGATAATGTCTCCATTGTACGATGGAATTCGTCCTGACCAATTCTAAAAACTTAATGCATATATACAGAAAATCATATCTGTAGTTCTTGTTTGATCCAATCTAAAGGTTACACCAACTAAATATGCTCCCACTATCTCGTTTTATTTTACTTTGCCACATCCTCTTGCCTTCTGTTTTTATCATTCACTAGTCTCCCAATGATTGTTGCTCAAACAATCAGCCAAGTGGCCATGTTTAAATGAGAGACAGATTAAGTTAACAATTAGTTCTATTTCGACATACAGCTTTTTCGTCACAGTTTAAAAGAATGCTCGTATGAGGCTGTTGAACGAATAAAAGTTTGAGACTAATAATTGGATTAAATGTTAGTAAGGTAAAGTGAGAGAAATAAAAAATAAACATAATTATTAACAATAATAAATATTTAATAAGCGATTACGTAATACGTGAAATGAAATAAATTGAGTATCCAATAAATAAATCGAAATGATTGTTAATTAGATTGTTGAAATTTGGAAGAACTAAATTAATCAAATCATTTAAACTCTAACATATTTATTAGATCCACATGATCTTGTTGTTTTTAATTGGAATTTACTAAACAAAAAACTCAAATCCGCCTGTAGCTCTTTCAGAGTTATTGTCGATCGCAAGCCCGGGTAATGAAGGAGGGTTGGGCGTGGGGTCGTCAACCCCATTCCGTAGAACAAATGTCGCTAAAAATCGCCAACCAGATTAAACAAATTAAATGTCAAGACAGTTCTACTGTACGGAGCTCAAACCTAAAGAACTACCACAACCATCATCAATAAGATACAACTGTTCTCAAACAATTGTCTACGTGAGATGCTCAGTGTTCGTTTGCCGAATACCACTAGCAATAACCTACTGTGGGAGAAACCAACGAGCTTCCAACTGAAGAGGAAATTAGAAAACGACGTTGGAGGTAGGTAGGATACACATTGAGGAAATCACCAAACTGCATCAAGAGGCAAGCGCTATCGGAAGCGAAAAACAGGAAGGCCGAAGAACACATTGGTCGAGAATTGTAAGCAGACATGCAAAGGATGAATAGCAACTGGGAACAACTGGAAAGGACTTCGCAGGACAGATTTTGGTGGGCAGTGCTGGTGGACGACCGACGCTCATTTCTGAGGTTTAGCAGGCGTTAGTATTTTTAAAAAATATGCTCCGGTAAAACCACAACTTATGGATGCCTTACGTTGGTTGTTATATTACGTATTTATGGATTTAGGAGTTTGCGTTCCCAAGGTTAGTTGATTCATAAATACTTAATCACTTGGAAATCTTTCTTCGTTTTTAAACACTATCTGAGGATTTCTAGTTTACACAATAAATAGGTTGGCTTAAACATATTTTACTGTATATATTCAAGTGTTGGTAGTGCGTCTTATTACTTCATAACGTACAGTGATATGAGTATTACCTGATTCGATACATTATATAATGGATGTTTATTGAGTGAATTTGAATCTAAAGTGTGCAAACAAGTCCGGATGCAAGTTCAAGGTTTTTCTCTAAAAGTACTTGGGGATTTAAAGGAACAGAATTAGATTTATAAAACTTTCATTGATTAAACTATGTGTAAATCCAAAGTTTCTCTCGACAATTTGGTTCAAGCATTTTCAAGAAACTATAATCAAACATCAAAATTATTGAATACTTAGACATTATAAGTATAGAAGATGGAATACAATTAGCAGTCTAATAGGAATTAGGGATGAATAAGTAAACCTTAACATCACTTCATATTTCATTTTATTTTATTTAGCGTGGTCATGAAAATAACATAGACATTTATATGTTTCATTGAAATTAAAACCGATCAATGCTAGACCACCCTTATAAACCTGCAAACAGTGAACGGTTGTTTCGAGCATGTCATTGGTGCTCACTTCTAAGTACTCCCGGAAATGGGACCAAACGGCGGTCCAGTACTTCCAGGTTTTCAGTGGTGATCTGACATTGATCGGATCATGATCGCAATGAATCTCAACATTCTTCACAACCCAATGCTGATAGTTAATGTATTTATTTATCCTCATTTTAAGCATGCTGAAGCATGTTTGATTTATATCATCTAGCAAGTTATTTAGTTTCATCAATTTTCTATTCAGAGATGATTTATGGTCAGCGAATTTTTTTAGCAGCATATATATATATATACTTAGTCTAGAATAAGCTGAATTAAACTGGAATTAGTTTTTATGATTTTTTTAGAAGTTAACACTGACTATTGATAATTTATCTTAATTTAGAGTAGCAGGTGAACACGTAGAGCAAATTAGGAGAGTCAGACGAGTAACGTTTCGTTTTACACATGGAAAACACAGTTTGATTCATAAAAATTAATTGAATGCTCTCTTAAATTTAGTCATAAAATGATACACCAGAAGTGGATCCAACAGTGATCTCATCATAATCCTATCTTTATGCACTTTGTTATTGAAATTAACTTGAACATGGAAGTGCAATGTAACAAATGCTTTTTCGTATAAGTGATCTGCAAATCATAATTTGTGCCGTGTTAATTCAATCTAGTGATAATTGTAACAAGTAGATTCTGTTAGAGCCAAACGGGTGAAAAAAGAACTAATAATAAGTGAAAACACAATTTTTTTCTGAAGTATCACTGTTTATCATTGTTTCCGCAAACCAAATTGTATTACGAATAACGGGAAACATCAACCCAGTCAGCGTTAACAGGTAAGCGCGAAATTCCCTAAGTGATTGGAAAATGCTAAAATAGAAGCACCTTTTCAATCTATTTAGTTAATCATGTAACAGATAAGACTATTTTGTATTTAAAATAAGCTTCAAACAAGTGTATCCGTTAATGAATGACAGAAAACTTGATATGTTATTCAATAATTCTTTCCAAACTCTTGTTTATAAGTATCACTTCCATGGTTTGAATTTCTAGGACTGTCTATATATTGTACTGTATTACTATTGTACAATTTAATTTTTTTTTGTTATTTTCATTTGGTCATAAATTCTCCATGGAAACGACTTAGTCGCGAAACGTCAGAAATTCAATTAGTGTATTACAAAATTTCTGATTAGTTTATTGTTACATTGATTTATCTCACCTCTCTTTCACTAACAGAGTACACTTAAATTGACTATTCATGCAAAACGTTTTACAACATAATTTTTGATAATTATTATTCTAAACATTTTATGTATTTCGTTTAAACCTACTCTATCTTTGTTGAAATGCATATGCTCATAATCACATTTGATCGATTTATATGCGTCAAAAACATATTACAGAACATTCAAGTTAAGAATGATCAAGAATCCAAAACAACAATGATCGCTAGTATAACTTTTTATGATTGATAATGAAAATCTGTAATTTATTTGTAATACGAATGCATTAGTACAAACTATAAACAAGTTAACTTTCAACAATATTAAACCTTAAACTCTATATTCCATTAGTTCATTTATATTCATGTAATAAAATAAGTTTATAAACGGTGAAAACAGTTTTATACTAGAAAATCATAAATAACTTTAAATTTACATGAATAAATAGTTTATTATTTAAATATTGCTAATGAACCAGTGAAGTCGCGGATCGGTAAAGCAAGAGGAGCATATTTACAAATGAAGAACATCTGCAACTCAAAACAACTGTCTGTCAACCAACACCAAGGTCAGGATTTTCAATACAATGTCAAGACAGTTCTACTGCATGGGGCGGAAACCTAGAGAACTACAAAAGCCATCATCCAGAAAATACAAGTGTTTATTAACAGTTGTCTACGCAAAATACTTCAGATCCGTTGGCCGGACACTATTAGCAACAACCTACTGTGGGAGAGAACAAATCAGATCCCAGCGGAGGAAGAAATTAGGAAGAAGCGCTGGACGTGGATAAGACACACATTTAGGAAAGGACCCAACTGCGTCACAAGACAAGTCCTCACATGCAATCCATAAGGCCAGAGGAAAAGAGGAGGACGAAAGAACACATTACGCCGGGAAATGAAGATAGACATGAGAAGAATGGAAAAGAATTGGATGGAACTAGAAAAGAAGGCGGAGGACAGAGTGGGTTGGAGAATGCTGGTCGGCGACCTATGCTTCTTTGGGAGTAACAGGCGTAAGTACGTAAGTAACCGGTGAAGTTCTTTATCATTATTTAAAGAAAGTTACGTATCTATGTGAATAGAAACAAACCAAAAAAATGAGTAATTCTGACTATAATTGTGAAATGAAAATATCTTTGAAACTTTTTAACCAAACTTCTGATTGTCACATTGTGACCAAGTGTTCTCGGTATATTTAGGTTAGGGGTTGAAAAGCTAAAGCCAAATGTCAAGTATTCAGTTTTCTATAAACATTGATCTGCATTTTGTATTTAGACGCTTCTTGAAAATGTTTTGCGAGTTAGATATTTATTATGCTATATAGTATTCGAATGTGTAATTCCGACTAATTGAAGAATAAATTCTATAACAAACAATATTTCTTTCTTAAAAGATAGCGTATTCGATTTTACACATAACCTCAAACGAAACTGACTTTATTATATTCGGAGTTGAGTATTAATTATAATGAATGAAAAAGGACATATTAAACTAAACTATGCAACTAGGTCCAGAATTAACTAATTTTGCAACGAGATATAACGTTAACATACCCCTATGTAACTGAACCATATAATCACCTCTTTCCCGTATTAATTTACGTAGATTCTCCCATAGTATCATAAAATTACCAAGTGATTCACTCAATTGGTCCGCAATACGTGGATATTGTACAATGGTATTGACTACATTCTAATTCAAAAAACAAAAGTATAAACGATTTGAATTTTTAGATTAATAATGTGTGTTGCAATCATTTCAATATGTGTAAACTAATGACTTCAACAAAATGTAATCAACTTCAAAAACAAAAGGGGAAATTTTCTATTGTTACACGAGCTATATTCATTAAGAATGTGTTATAACAGAAAGAACATTGTTGAAATTGAGACTAGTTTTTCAAATTATCATTACTTGCCATTTTCTTATACAGTTATTGAGTGACTAGATTACTAGAAATAAATATGTCATTTATTATAAGTTTTCGGTTGACTCATTAACTACTGATATATGATTTAATCTTCTTAATTCGTTGTCAATCGAATATTTACAGTCTTTCCTATTCAAAGACACTTTGGATTGTTCATTTAATTTTATAGTGTCATGTGCCCTGGTATGCTTGAATATAAACCACAATTGTTACAGAATAAATTCAGTACAAGCTGGTTGCTACTTCCGGACACAAGCCTGGGCATAGAGAGAAGTAAGCGAATAGTGAACTAATAGGAACATGACTGTCGAGTCGAGCACATTAGTGCTGGTTGAGCTAGTACCTGTTCAATTCAGAGACACTAATCTGTAGAGTTAATAAAAGTCCGAAATAGAAATAGGGTTCTGAGTGGCAACTGGGCACGTGATACTGGTTGATAGGTTCAAAGAAATAACGGAATAGTGTTATTGTTTGTCAATGTAACTAGTACAACTACCTCGTTCATTAACTTTATTATCACCCATACAATCTATTTTTACTACTTTAGAATGAACATTTAACTACTGAGATCATCTTTCTCATTAAACTATAAATCAGTTCCGAATTACAAAATAAGATGTTAGATGATTAAAAAGTTAAGGATGATAATTATCTGTTAGAATTATTCAAGACGTTAATCATTTCTTTAACAAATACAGTTTGTCTTCACAATTATGTACAATTTTCGGAAATTTAAAATTATGAAAATAACTGACTGACATATTTCTATCACGTAGTATGGACCATTAGATCCTCTTCCATCATTTCATTTACATGTTTTCTAAGAAAATGTAACATTGGTACATCAAAATAGGCACATGCAATAAGAAACGCTACAGATTCACCATAGTTTATCTAACACACACACACACACACATAAAACAACTTACAAGGGCAAAAAAACGCTAGCTGACTGTTCTTGAAATACTTATCTAGTAAGCATTTTTAAGCCAAGTATTTGTAATGACATATATTACTATTGTTATTATTATTATTACGAAAATGGCTTTCATAAATACGCAGATTCTCAATAGTTTTCAACCGGGAAAATCATAATATATCTTGAATGACATTTTTACTTGGTTTTTTGTAAGTAAATAGTCTTCTAAAAGCTTTGAATAATCATCACGACGTTTAGATGAATACTTAAGAAAACTAAAGAAAAATTTTATTTTACTAACAGTGGTATTTATTCAGAGGGTTTTTCTTCTTTTCATACAATCACTGAAGGAATTAAACGATAACTTAATGTTTGGTAACTACATAGTTTGTTTCAAATGGTATTAAATGTGTATTTAATTTATCATTGAAAAGTACAACGATAGAAATCTTGTCAAAACTGTATTCTTATATAAGTAATAAATTTTGACAAATTATTAAAGTATACTTTTCTTATTGTATCTTTGTGTTGTAAAAAATGTCGTTTCAATCATTTCGTGCGTTTTGTCGATTAGAATTGATGATATAGGAAAAAAAATTAAATCAGTAACAACGATTGTTATAATTAAAACAAGAATGTAAATTCTTTAGAATAAGCTTTGAATTTATAGGAATCATCATGTTTAGCATAGAAATCGGGCTAAACTGTTTTGCAATACAATTGCAGATAACGCACTTGAAACAGACATATCATTGAATAAACTTTGAAATTTTAGTGAAGCTTGTCAAAAGTGGTTGAATTCCATAACTCATAAGTCCCAATTCACTCGAAAACAATTCATCACTGTTAAAAACCTTACCTAAGAACTGGTTGTAGGAATGTTATACTGGAGAGTTTATAAGTGAAATTATGAAACTGTTCAATATCAATGCCTTCGAGCTACTGGAACTCAAAACAGTGAGACTACAATTTATGGATGACCTTTGAGCGACACTGAAGTGATCCTGAGGGTGGACACCTACTGATTAGGACTAAATGAAGGTTATAGAGCCGTTAGAATTCTCATTTACAGTTGGTGATTACAATTAAAAATTAGATTTAGGGTTTTCATCACGAATTGACATCAGCTATAATGCCAAAACTTTATTTAGCTAAATGTATGGATGAATTTCGCACCAAAATTCGTGGCTCGTTATCTTATATCTGATTGGTTTGTCCATAAATTTTAGTCTCGCCCTCAAAACTTAAAGGAACAAGTTAATTTTATAAAATGTGAAATCTGAGTGTGTCATTCAGTAGTTCAACTTCGAGCTACAAAATTATATATGCATATAAATGTAAATAAGTGATATAAAATAATTTTTTACAACAATTGACAACATACACATCAATCAGATATTGCATCAATCTAACAGTCATTTAATATTCTGCAATAAAACATACTTGGAAAACCTGTTCAACACGATCATTATTAGATTCAATTTCACTTTCAAGTACGCGATGTTGTGTATATTGTTTACTGACGAATACTTTGTATGGTACCAGTGAACCCATATTTGATAGTTTACCTGCCTGATCGTATTCTTCAGCAAGTTCTTTTTTTTCTATAAGCCATTCTTGGAGCTTAATGGAAAATGTTTATATACAGTAAATTAATAAACATGCCAAAATAACGAGTGACTAAATGTAAGCACTCTTTATCCTCCTATTCCTGTATAATATCTCAGATATCAGTTACCAAATAATTTTGACAGGCGAATAAATAAAATATTGTCACGAAATACTTTTATAATGCTCGTAAATAGCTGGTTGTTAATTCCGATTAGATGGTATAGTGCAATGAAAAATCATTTCCTGAAGAACTTGGATGTTTTTGGTTAGTAACTCATGTTCATTCAAAATCGTGAACCACTGACTAACAGTTTTGTATTCCTAAGATGATGAGTTCTTCATGAAGATGTTAACGGGTTCAGTTGGGCAATATTGATGAGTTCAATATTAGGACAAAAAAGCCGTTCAGTGATTTCCATTTTTTAAATGTATGTCCAAATAAAATCAGTAAACGATTCACTTGAATCCAGATAAAAGTGAGTATTTACTTCGTTCTAACTCTTAAGTATTCATAAAACCAAAAAAAGTGTTCCACTTGAAAGCGACTAAATTGTTTGCGTTGTCAAGACAAAAATTATAAAAAAAAACATCTACTGAGAAACATTCAATGAACATCGTAATTAAAATTTCCAGAAACAATCGATTAATTAAAGCTTATCATCATTATCTTTATCTAAATTAATTGAAAAGAAAAGGGGAAATTTTTGGGGGAGGCAGGGGTTGGGAAACAACTCATTATTAATAAAAAGATTAACTCTTGATTTTCATAGAAAAATCAAGCTCATTGAATTCAGAATGAATGATAATTGTTATCACTGATTATTCAGACTATTCAATTAACATCAGCATTAACAGTCATTTGATCCTATTCATCGTTATAAATAGTTTCTATTTTAGATAAATTGAATTTTCATGCTTCCTTGTAATACAGATTATTAAGATAAATGGATAGAGAATGAGTATAGAATAATGATAACATGAATAACATTGTTAGATAACACGAAATAATAAACAAACATCATTTTATTTTGACCTTAAAAGTTTTGAATTTGTAGATAATGCATGCCAGTTTATTGTATATAACAATTTATCTTTATAGAAGTTACAATGTTCATAGATGTTTGTATGTGGATTTATGCAGTTGTTTTTCACCTATCTGTTCAAATCAAACATTATATCCACTAAACATTAGTAGCATAAACTGAAATACATACTTTCGGTATATCGTATCATAACTTTTTACACAAGCACAAGTGATCCTTATAAATAAAAAGTGGAAAAACTAGTTATATTATACTAATCACTTCCAAAAGGCAGGTCATTAGATTGACAAACGTACAAATATATATATATATATATATATATATATATATATATATATATATATATATATATATATATATATATATATATATATATATATATATATATATATAAGTATATATATATATACTTGTCCCACAAATTTCCCTCAATTAAGCTAATCCTCTTCATGCCAAATCACTTTATTCATTATGACATAAGAGTAAAGACATGAAAAGAAACTCATTTATTTCGAATTTTAGTCTCTTCAAATATCTACTTTCATGAACTTAGAAATTTCCTCCTCATTGTAAATAAGATTGAATAAACATCGTCATTTGTTTTGATATAAACTATTTTGACATTGAGATAAAAACAAAAAAAACTGGCATTTCAAAAATGAGAATAATTTTGAAAAGTTTATATTTACACATTTATTTTATTCACAAAAAGAACAAATTTTGATTTTTGATGTAGAATTGAAATTTGATCTGTAAATATTCTAGACAAAAGAAAACATTCGTTCCGACAGGATCTAGAAGTAAACAACTGGAATGTTGACGTTTATTAGCTTTAGTCTCGTATATTAGTATGTTGGGATGAGACAATAATTTATGGACGACCTTTGAGAGATGTCATGGTCACCTTGAGTGTGTCCACCTGATAATTAGGACCAAATGAGGGTTGATGGTTAAGGTTAGGAATTAGATTTAGGGTTTCAATCACAAGTTGACATCAGCTGTAATGCCAAAACTCTATTTAGCCAAATGGGTGAGTGAATTTCGTGCCGAAATCCAAGACCTGTTATCTTAAATCTGATTGGTTCGTCCACAAATTATAGCTTCGCCGCATGTTGGTTTAATTTAGACAAATAGCCAGCGTAAAATGCCTTTGAATAAAAAGAATGTTTATGCGGTATGTGCTACTGATGCTGACAGATATAAGTAGTATGTATTACTGATCGAAAGTGAAAAGCCTGGTAGCAGGTTAAGAAGATCGAAGAAAGTAAATGAGAACAGAGAATGGTGTGGAAACGAAGGAACAATCAAGTCTGAGACAATTGATTGACATTTTGGAAAGGAAATATTTGCTGTATGGTTCTCATATATTCTGTAATGTTGTATTAAAATACGTTTGATTGTCCCAACTTGTGTTCTCGTTCACTACATTTATACTATAAAATTATCTTATTTATTAAAGATAAACTCTCATATAATCATAACGAAATAATCTTTACTTTTATTTGTACTAGTCAGATAAATTATTGTCAAATAAATTTTTATAGATAACATTCAAAAACAAGAATACATTTATACATTAGGTGCCTCTATGGAAGGTGGTAAGTACACGATATAGAATGAATTCGCTACATTTTCCGGTATTTGTTATTCGGAAGAGGGATTTGAATGTTTTGCTGAATGTTTAACTACTCAGCAAATAATTTTCTTCAAAACATCATCCACTAGAATCTCATCTCAAATTAACCAGCTGAACATAACTAACATAATATTGTTAACTTGTCTCTTTGGAGTAGTTATAAAAACATGAAACAAATTAGATAATATAAGTCTTACGTAACATTTGACTAATAACAATGATTTATTTACAACTAGCATAATTCCCATGATACATACCGTTTGAATTTGTTGCATATTCTCTCGAAGTGCTATTAAATCTTTAGTTGAATCCACTAGTGTACGAGCTTCACCAAGTAGTGTGATATATCTAAAATAAGATATAAAAATACATTTGATCTGATAAAGACCAATGAATTGCGAATATTTAGACTGAAGGACCTTTGTTCACACTGCTAGATGGCATATTAAAGAAAGTAGCTAGTCGAGATGCTAGTCAGCAAGAAACACTGGACCAAGGTTTCTTGCCATTTGACACTCGTCAGAAGAGCGTACCCGTAATCTTGAGGGATCTGATGCTCTTTGATGGAGTCGATCTTCTGTCACCCAGATTCATAGTCAGAGATGTTATCAGTGAGCTGTCCGAGCCACGACTGACCTCCTGTAGGACTGAGTTTTATTTAAAATTGGTTGACCATTGTGTGATGACCATTGTCACGTGTGTCAGGTCCTCCTTAGTGCAGATCGAATTTTGTCGACCAAGTTCTAATGCAGTCACTAATCTAAGTAACTCCACATCGAGTGCAGTATATTGAGGTTAAACGTGGCATGGATATCTCTGTGCTAACGTCTCTAACTGTGAAGCTGTGTGACAGAAGATTGGATCCTTCAGGAAACACCTGTTGTCTCCAGATTACAGGTAAACCTTGTTATCGAGTGCCAAACAACACGAAACCTAGGTCCAGTGATCAATTAATTGTAAACTCGCTAATTATCGAAGTTTGATGATAAACATTTTCTGAATTGAATAAATTATAACTTTATCGTAAATTTATAATTCCAACTTCCCAGATTCGTATAAATAACGTGCTTCGTTTAGTTAACAATTATGTTGTTTGTATTTGGTTATATTAGACAGTTAAATGTCATAAAAGACTTGTTCAGCTCATCCAAGCGCAAACAAAGATTCAAGTATTAATGCAGGCCATGCTGCATTCATTCTGATGATGAATCTAATAAATTCATCTAGCTTATGAGCCCATTCAAGATAACAATGAATATTAGTTATTTGAATATTAGCAATTTTTAATCTATAAGCAATCCTGAATTTACATACTAACGATGCATTTGGCATAAACCTGACCACTTTTCGGATTGTACATTTGAATATATATAGCTGTAAAACTTGTAAAGAATTTATTGGAAACAATATTCTTGATACATATATTAATGTTGGGGATGTTTAAACAGTTGGGATCAAGTTCCGCTGAAATGTGATTGAAAAATCTATATTAGTATCAGAAATACATGTATCAAATCAGTAAGTTTAGATTGAGGCAACTATTGGAGGTTTTAAGCAAAGATGGATAGTGGCTAGCAGTGGAATCAAGGACGCACATTTTGCCCTATTTCGGACTCGTCAGCTGGATGTACCTGCATCTCAGAGTTGATGTTCATTCTGTGACTCGAACCCAGTACCGTTCGCTTCAAACGCTATCGTGTTATCTGCTTAGCCACTTGCTTGTACAACCGGGTGAAGTTTAAATTTACTTGGTATTGTTTACTTGAATCTTCCCAGCAGCTAAGTGGATAACGTGATGGCTTATGAAGCGGACAGTACTGGGTTCGAATCCTTGAATGAACATGAACTCTGAGGTGCAGGTACATCCAGCTGACGAGTCCCGAATCGGGGAAATATGCGTCCTGGATTCCGCTGCTAGCCACTATCAATCTTTGCTTATAATGCTTGTGACTTAAAGCATTATCGAGGCAATCCACACAAGATGTACATATGCCAACAAATGACTGATCGATTGCAGTCCTAAACAACAATGGGAAGATACAAGCAAAAAACACCGAATGAATTTATAGGAGGTTATGTTTGACTGATTTACACTGTCAAATCTTTTAAACACTTCATGGTTTTATTTCTGCATCAATAATAGCAGTAATAATATTAGATTTTTCTCAAATACTTTTTTCTCACCAGCTTCATTTTCACAATTGTAAGTTCACTGAATTCATTTACCCTACTGTAACAAAATCGTTCTCTTTTACTTTTAAAATCAATAAACTACTATACACATAGAAAATATAATAAAAAACTATATGACTTCGAGATGGTGGAGAAGATGTGTAGCCCAGGTGGATGATGCACTTCGATCATCGAGGTGCACAGAACAAGCTGTGAAACACATATGGAGAAATTCGAACACTTCACTTCTACCTGAAGTTTGTGCTGATGATGTCGTTCAGAAGAACGATGAAAGCTCCATGACCAAACCATCCAGCTCAGAGAACAAAACTCCACTAAAAACTATATGACTTCACTACTATTCCATTTAGAAAGAAATCAGTTTATTCATATCAAGCCTACGCTTTACTTATATTTTACACTGACTATTGCAAAGGAATATTTATGGATGTAAAACTGTAAAATATAGAGAGTGGAATTTACTGAAGACCTTTTTGCTTTTTAAGCACAATTCTATTTAATATTTGAAATAATAATTTATAATTTACAATTAAAATCACATCAGTATGCAAAATAAATGTACTGATCTAATCTATCTAATTCAATCTGTCACTGCTCTATGCTTTCAACTTTTAGCATGTAAATACCATTGTTAAAACATTAAAACCAGTAATGTCACAATTGTATATTTAAGCATTAGAATGCTGAATAGAATGATATGAGTCTGTTTAGGTCTAATGATTTACATCACACATATAAAATGTGTATACATCTCCACACATATATGAACTAACTATCCTAATTGATGTTTTGATAAATAGAACTTTATCAACAAAATGGTGAACTATTTTACACATTGGTTTACAGTTCAAAACAAAATGTGATATGTAAATGTGAAATCTCATAATTTAAACAAAACGTTTATTAAGATTTTGATTGAGATCATGAACCGATTGATGTTAGACCACCTTTAGAAACCTGGAAGCACTGGAAGGCCGTTTTGTTCTATTGTGGGACTCCTTAGCAGTGCGCATCCACAATCTCGCTCTCGGGATTCGAACCCAAGGCCTTCGGTTTCGCGTGCGAACGCTTAAACTACTGGACCACTGAGCCGGCATCCAATGGTGGATGTGTCTAACATCAACCAATCCACGAAATTGCGCGACCAACTTCCATTTTACTGAGGTAGATACCTGTCTCTACCCGACACGGATTAGCTCCACTGGTCACGGACTCTCACTAGAACTCCGAGAATTTTCTCACGAAGCTAGTCGCTAGTGAGCACATGTTAATTAATGGTATAGGAGTTGTGGAGATTATTAAGTTTTTGATTGAGATCATGAACCGATTGATTGAGGAGTCCCACAATAGGACGAAACGACTGTCGAGTGCTTCCAGGTTTCCAAAGGTGGTCTAACATCAATCGGTTAGTGATCTCAATCAAAAATATAATAATTTCCACAACCCCTATACTATTAAAAAGTTTATTATTGTTTATTGACACAAGTACATAGAAGTAAACAAGTGATTAATCATAAAAAATAAAATCTGTTTATATTCAGAATTAACAGTTAGGTAAAATCATAATGTTGCTTTTACCGATAAAAATAGTAATAATATAATTATTTATGAAAGATGTCACCCTAGAGACCAACTATAACTTTTCCTCATTACTGAAAACAAACCAAAAATGCTTATTTGGTAGAAATAAATATTTATTAAATAAATTTTCTCATCCAAGTTATCAATGAAAATAGTCAATCGGTAAATGAAGAATCAAAAGAATAAAAAAATAAAAAAACAGATCATAAAACAATTGAAAAGTGAATCAATTCTGAATAAATAAAAAAAAACTTTTGTTTCTCTTGTTTATTATAATTATGAACAATAGATTGTTTGCCATAAAATGAAAGTGTAAATAAACCATTTTGTTTCCAGGATAATGAAAAATAGAACTTTTTAATGACATTGTTTTAGGGTTATTCTAAGCATTTTATTTTTGTGTGTGTGTGTGTGTTTAGTCGGACAGTTAGTGATACATCTTATAAAATTAGAAAACAATAAATGCAGATATATCTGAAATAAACAAAAGAAGAAAGATTCTCCCCTAGAAACAAAAAGAAGCTAGAAATAGGGTGAGAAGTATTTTTAAAAAAAAACAAGAATATCAAGATAAAATGACAAAAGATCTTGATAAAATTTCTAATCAAGTGCTCAATGCAAAACAAACAAAAAAACAGACAAAATTGTTGAAGATAATTAAACTTCATATTAAACACACACAAAACCCCCCCCGAATAAAGAATGAAACAAGTTTTAAATGGTTGAATAAAATATATCTACTTTTTAATTCGTTATTGACAGAAGTATTCTATGCAGATATCTGAATGTAAGTAGTACTGTTCAATATTAAGGTATAGTGTTTGAATAAAGTTATTTAAAGAAGTTATTTGTAGATAATACAAAACATAATTGTTTCTTTTTGTTTGCGATAAAAATAAATGTAAATAATATGTAAATCATATGCGATGCTTTAATCATTACTTCAGTAAGCAACAATCACTAAATATTCTACAATTGTAACACTTTTAAGCTTATCATTTTTCTCTGATTAGTTGGTAAAGTGATGATTTAAAAATTATAGCAAAGATCAACCTCTTCCAACTTCTGTCATGAATCATCTATGCATAAATCACCTGTTTACCTTAACAACATCTAATATTCACATGAATAACAACTCTCGACTTTTAGTTAGTTTGATATAATTATAGATGAAATTAAGAAATTACATTGCAAAGGAGTCGAAGTCATAATAGTGTGTATATGTATTTTTGAAAAAAAAATCGAAGCATCGAAAATATCATTGATTACGAATATCGTGGGAAACTTACTCCGATAATATACAGCTCAGATAAACAGTTTATGACTTCATAAAATAACATAATCTATAGGTGGTGCACGATTTCAGAAACCAAGGGAACTTTTTCAATTCATGCAAAGATTGAATCAGGCATACGCCAGTCAGGTTTGCCGAAACTTAGCGTGTTTGACGACTTCACCTATAATTAGACTAGGCATAGGTGAAGATGATTTTAGAGGAAAACGTTTTCACTGAGAATAAAAACTCCTACCTCGAACACTCTTGCATCGTTTTTCGAGGCGTTTAGAATACTTCGTTTTTATATCCTCTTCACCAAATAAAACTACATTATATTTGTCATTTACGTCAACAACTTAATCTATCAAGAGATTGGCTACTGGGAAATCAGGTGAATAAATCTTTGATAAGGTGTACTTCAGGGGAATGATTATAGAAAAATTCGGTTCTTTGAAGCCACACATACAAACAAGTGCCAACATGCTTCAAATTTTATCCAGGAAGATTTGGGAGGGAGAACAAGTGCCACTGACGGACTGGAAAGAAGGACACCTCATCAATATACCAATGAAAGATCTGAGGTGTGAGAACTATAGAGGCATCACACTACTATTGGTACCAGAAAAGGTTTTCAATAGTGTTGCTGAACTGGATGAAAGATTCGATCTCAGCAGACTTAATTACGTAATGACCGGTCGTGCACAGACCGAATTGTGACACTATGGATCATCGTTGAACGATCAATTGAGTGGAAATCGTCAGTATACATCAACTTCCTTGATTACGAGAAGGCGTGTGACAGTGTGGATAGGAGAACGTTATGGAAACCTCTTCGACACTGTGGTGTACCTGAGAAAATCGTCGACATCATACGGAATTCACACGATGAACTACAGTGCAAAGTCGTGAATGCAGAACAGTTGACAAACACATTCGAACTGAGGACCGGAGTCAGATAGGGTAGCTTACTCTTTCCCTTCCTCTTTCTTCTGGCGGTTGACTGGATTATGAAGAGCTCCACATCTGAGGTGAAGCACGGAATACACTGGATAGATTAGAAACATAAAGAAGATTTAGACTTCACAGATGACTTGACCCTTCGATCACATACACATGAACAAATGCAGGTGAAGAGAACTAGTGTTGCAGCAGCCACTGCATCAGTAGGCCTCAACATACACAAGGGAAAAACCAAGATTCTCAAATTCAACACGGAGAACAACCAACCCAATCACATTCGATAAAGAAAGTCTGGAAGAGGTGCAGACTTTCACGTACCTGTGTGGCCAAGATACTTAATGTTCGTTTGCTGATTATCATCAGAAACAGCCTACTGTGAGAGAAAACGAATCAGCTTACAAATGAAGAAAAATGAGGAAGAGACTTTGGAGATAGGATATACATTGAGGAAATCATCAAACTCCTGATAAAGAAAAAAATCTATATACAACAGTTGGTAAGTGGTTTTATGTTCAGAAACCAGTATATTTGTTTCGTACATATTTATTTGAGCCCCAAATTCATCATTTTTTCTTACGTTTGCAGTTTTCAAGCTACACAAATTCGTCAAACTGTCATAAAGGATAATATTTTAGATGTAATTAATCAGACTGACTCCTCAACGGTAACTATAAGAAAATGTCTGTCCATTGTACGAATTAAGACAATCATTGAATGAAACCTGTCAAAAAATATCTCCTAGCCTTCAGACATTATTTAATTGGTCAATCGATTGTTAGTGTTAAAATCCTCAGCCTTTAGTACATCAACACTAACCACGTTTTCGTGCTTTAAGTTACCTATCAAATGTAGCTGCAACCGTTTATCTCAGCTGACATCTACTGTTGAAAAATGTAGATAAACATCTTTAATTTCAGGATTTCTAGTTTATCTAAAATAAATCAGTAGCAGGGATAATTATTGAAAACTTTGTCTAAACCTCAAAACTACAACCCATGAACGTGGTAAACAGATTCAACTTATATTTCTGAAACGTTAAAATCTAGAAACATGAAGTATTATTATCACTAACCTGTTTTTTATTAAAAAAATTTTATTTTGTATTTTCTCCATTGAATATACTTTATCTATAACGAGTTGATTCCCGGTATCACATAAATGATTCAATGATTCATTAGCATTGATTAAACATTGAACAATTTCATTTTGAGATTTCAAAGAAGTAAGAATATCGTTTGTATTCTTTTGTTTCTAATTGGAATTAAATGAGAAGATAAAATAACGATCAGAATTGATTTCACTAATCATAGATTTTTGTTATGCAAAACATCGTCGCTATTCACATAGAGTTAATAAAACGAAATAAGAACGTTTTAAGGTTGACTAAATACTTTTGTTAATTGTTAAATACATGTGCTAAACAAAAACAACCTTCTTCGTTTTTGAATTTAACTAAAACTTAAATTTAATAGTTGAATTCATGAGTCGATTGAAGCTAGACCACCATGGAAAACCTAGAAGCACTGGACGACCGTTTTGTCTTGGTGTGGGACTCCTCAGCAGTGTGCAGCTACGATCCCACCTCGCGAGACTCGAACTCAGGTCCCAACAGTCTCGCGCGCAAGCGCTAAACCTTTAGACCACTGAGTCTAGCTTCAATTGGCTCATGCATGCAAATATTGAATTATTATAATATCCGCAAAACCCCTCTCTGATTAAAACTTAAGTAGTTTAATTATTCAAAGATCTTCATATTAAAAGACTAATATTTGAACGAAAAATATTCTTTTCGATAAATTCTCTTCAGGTTCTACAATTCTTATATCCAAATTAATAATCCGAAAACTGGCCAGGTTAAGGGCAAAGTGTGATTAGATTGACAAAGCGGGTACCATTTTAGATGACAAATTAAAATTTCAAAAAATAACTGACCAGAAAGTTCTTGATAATAAGATAGAGAATGAGCTAACCAGATCTTTGAAGAAACTCAGGAACCAACAGACTATTTGGTTGGGTTTATGTGAAATAATTAAACCAGTGGGAACCTATCTGCCAAAATTGTATGGATTGCTAAAGGTACACAAATCAGGGATCCCACTAAAACCAATTTTAGATATGCATAACTCTCCTTATCATACTATAGCTAAATGGTTTGTAACTATATTGAAACGTCTCCATGCAAAACTTGTAAAACTTAGTGTTAAGTATGTATTCCAATTTGTTGACAAGATCAGAAATGTAACATCAATATTCACAAATGTTGCACTCCTAGAGACCGTAGAATATACGTGTGAAAAATTGAGTGAAAATGAAATTGAAACTACAGTTCCTATCAGTGTCGTAAAAGAGTTATTACTGAAGTGCACCATGAATGTGAATTCTATGTTCGACGGATAAGTATATAAATACACGGATGGTGTTGCGATGGGTTCAATACTGAGCCTTATACTACCTGGCATTTTTCTAGCCAAACTTGAAAACGCTCCACTCAAAAAGATTATCCGAAAATTCACATTTCACTGTCAATATATGAATGATACGTTCATCCTTTGGAGAGATAATCCATCGCAGCAAGAGGTTCTTAGGCAGTTTAATTAAGTGTATCCAGATATTCAGTTTACATCTGAAGAGAGCAATGGTAGATTACCCTTTTTGGACGTACTCTCAACTACGGAAGCTGATGGATCGTTGAAAAGGAATTTAAACAGGAAAAATACCTGGACGGGGCAGTACACACATTTCCTTAGTTTTGTACCTCCGCAGTACAAAAGAAACCTGATCACAACTATTAGTTACTGAGTGCGCACTATATGTTCTACGGATACCTTAGAAAGTTTATAATTAAATATATGTTCACGAAGGTGAGACTAGGCGAAATACAAACGTTGAATAAGAAATGCCTGTTCATGCGCCTACAATTCAGAGGGGATGCGGTCAGTGAAATATTAACTCAGAGATCATGGAAAACAACCCAAAAATCTTTCAACGCCCGAGAACTACGATTATTATTTCCTACGCTCCCAATGGTGACGTAAAAGCTAAAAGATGAATTACTTAGAATGATCATTTCATTTTGTATTTATCAGTTCGACTGTTCCTGCGGAGCAAGTCACATTGGTCGAACTTATGGAAATTGATATTTTCGTGCTGGCGAACACCTCCCAGTGTGGCTCAGCAAAGGTCTGATGAAGAAAGTGAACAGCTCGATATTGGCCCATTTAGTACAAACCAATCTTTTCCAACTATTTATAAGGTCAATAATTTCATGCCGAGGCTTGTGAAACTTAAAGTTTTTTCAAGTGGCTGAAACAGTAGCCATCTGGATGAAGAAAGTGGAGCTAGATGTATAAAAGAAATATCTTCAACCGCTTCTCCTCCCCTGGCCAACATCAAGGCCAATTAATCAATAGTAATCTTAGCTATTGAATGATCTAATTTGACTATTGTACTTACGACCTTTCGTAGTCGAATGTAATTGTATCTTTTATCTTTATTCGCGAGTCTTTGTATTGTTATTATTACTATTGGTTAAACATCATTATTCATCTCCCCAATACATGATTCATTTAATTCTCATTCATCCCACTTTATAATGTCTTTCTAATAATTTTTTTACACAATATAGTCTTCCGTTAAATATTTGATCGAATTAGAATTGCACTATTATTTCTCTCTCACCCTATTTGATCCATATTCATTCGGATCATGGATCTTAAATTTCACATAACATGTATGCAGATTCAAGTAGACATGCTATATATCTATTTGTCATATCAACATGAACAATTTTATTCTGTTTTGTTTAACAATCCTAAAATCACATGCTATAACACTTTAAACAGTGTACTTTGCCCTTAACCTGACCATTTTTCGGATTATTAATTTGATTATATAATTGTAGAACCTGTAGAAAATTTATTGAAGAGAATATTCACTTTTCAAATATTAGTCTTTGAAAAACTTAAATAGTCAACTTAGTAGATGGTAGTTGGAGATAGTCGACAGGAAACCCTGAACCTGATTTTTGTGCTACTTGGCACTCGTCATCAAGGTGTTTCTGTAATCTTGAAAGAAATGGTGCTCCCTGGCGGATTCGATCTTGTATCACCCAGCTTTACAGTCAAAGACGTTACCACTGAGCTATCAGGACCGCGACCAGGCACACCTTGCTGACGAGTGCCAAAAAGCACGAAACCCGGATCATCAGGGTTTCCTGTCGACTACCTCCAACCACCATCTAATCTCAATATATAGTGCCCACAGTGTCGAGTCACCTAGACTGGTGGCCACATTGCAACATGATCGATAGCATTCGATCTGCACTAATAAAAAGGACTAGACACGCATGACATTGATCGCCACTCAGTGATCAATCAATTATGAGTCAACTTAGTAATTAGGCATCGAGACAATCATTGATTCGTGTTATATAACAAATCTGTATTTTCTATTGAATGAAATTTAATCTACTTTCTTTTTAGTGATTGTTTAAATAAACAATAGTCAAGTGTTATTTATGAATTTAAACAAAACATAGATAAATGTAATTTTACTTCAATAAACATTCAACAGTTATAATAATCATAATCATAATAATGTTAACGTCTGAATACTTCAACTTATGTTTTGTTTTAATACTTGATCATCTAACATTTGAATACTTTTTTGTTTGTTTGAACAATACAACAATACAACACATAATAAACGAAAAATAAACAGAGATAGACACAATTGATTTAATGGTTGATAACATTTTAAATATTCAAATCAGTTTCATTCTATTTTCTCTTGTTTTTTCAAGAAACGAGATACACTCGAAACGTTTGTTTTTTTTTCTTCTTCTAGTTTAATATTAAGTAATCAATATTCATATAAATGTCACCAAGTTTGAATGATTCAAAGAAATTTCCCCAATATCCATCAATATATATAGATATCATGAATTTATTCTACATTCTGATTATAGAGTCATTTTGAAATCTTTCAATTTGAAGTTTCACATCATGGATAAATGTTCGTTAGGGAAATAGTGACAACCGTAGATACTAAAAAGTAGCCTTCTTCCTGTTTAAGACTTGTCAAGTAGTCTGCAACCATAACTTTACAAGTATCAGATAATCTTCACAACGAGGACTTAAGTTTCAGAACTTCGAGTTGACATTCAGTAGTTAAGGTTTCTAATCTCAAAGAAATAGCTATTGCGATTGGTGATATTGTCTCACTAATCTGACAATGGCTTCTTAATAGAACTCAATGAGCTACCTCACAAATTTATCCACTTGTATTCAAACAATAATTACTGAAATTAATGGGGTTTGTTAAGAACTCAGTAAATATATTGGGTTGTTCTTGAGTAGATTTCTTCAAGTTGAAGATATGTTAACTGGAGTCCATTAAAACTCATTAAGAAGATATTTGTGCAGTTTTGTAAAAACTGTTAAGCTTTGCAAGTCTCAAATGCGTTTACCCACATGTCAAAATTTGGGAGAAAAACAGCAAGTGACTTGAATCACAAGCGACTTTAAGTATAACTGCATTAGCTACAGTAATTCGCGTGAATATTGAAGTGATACTCAGTCAATTCTAGAAGAATTGTTGCATGCTACAAACTAGTTATTTAACGTCTTGTGAGGATTGCAAGTTCCGATACCAAATCATCGTCAACTGATCAACTCACTGGAATTGAAAATAAGTCACACATTTCCTACAAATATGTTTAGAAATGTCGCAGTCGCTCTGATACATAGTTGGGTATTTAAATTTCATCCTATTATCTCATGTTCCATTTATAGAGTTCCTACGATCAGAAGGAATATCAATTTGGTTCTTCTCAGCTTTGAATATTTCAAGAAGTGAAAATAATCCACAACATATTCTAGTTTCACATAAAATGGTTCTCATACGCGTTCAATAGATCTTACAATGAGCACAAAGTTAAGTGTTTAAGGAATACTAAAATTAAGAGAAAATTTAATCGTGAGCTGAATCAAATGTCTTGGTCAGAAAACTGTTGATAACTTATTTCTGTTTTATTCCATTACAGAATTTCCCCAACTTTTCCTAGACGTTTATATATACTTTCTTAATTTTTGACAATTTTGGCTTTTGATTAATTCTCGGCAATAATCGGATTAACCCATTGGGTTGATCGTTGAATTTACTTCGATTTCATTCTATAAGATGATCACAAGTATTCTTTCCTTTTTACGTCTTCTCCGTATTCGGTGCTTGACTGATCTTTTAAAATTGGACACACATTTTAGTACATTTCCAGATACCTTAAAATAGTTCTGTTTTTATATTTATTTCTGAGACATAACTATATATCGTAATGATTGACAGATTCAGGTCTAAAATACTTCTGTTTTTTCACTTTGCGTGATAGTTTCATACAATACTTAACGAATTTAAGACATCTGATTTAATAATTACAACACAATACTATTTATTAGGTATCAAATAATAACTGGTCTGAATCTGTTTCATGAAAACTTTCTATTTCAGATCGAATCTTAGAATTGTATTATTACACAAGTTTCATATACATGATTTCTATATACCAGTAAAGGGTTCCGAAGATTGTTGAGTTTCAATCAATATCATGAATGGATGAATGTCAGACCACTACTGGAAACCTGGAAGCACTAGACGGCCGTTTCGTCCCAGTATGGAACTCCTCATCAGTGCGCATCCAAGATCCCGCACTCAGGACTCAAACCCAGAATCTTCGTCCTCACGGGCGAACATTTAACCTTTAAACTACTGAGACAGCATCCAACGGTGTCAATGTGAATGCGCACTGCTGAGGAGTCCCATGCTAGGACAAAACGGCCATCTAATACTTCCAGGTTTTTAATGGTGTTCTAACATTCATTTATTCATGATACCAATTGAATCTCTATATACGTTAAAAATCAACTCACCAAACATCATTTATTCACTACTATCTAATGAAATAATTCTCTCTATTATCATTAAAAAGTCAATGAATTAAGTTTCAGTTGTTTTTTGAAACCAGTTAACTAAAATCAACATCATATATTCTGTCTCTTTCTATCTTTCACTTTCACTATATTACTGTAATATGATGCAAAATTTATTCAGTAATATTAGTTTATACCGAGACACAAAATTAGTTAGTTTGTTTTATCTTTAACTTTATGACCATTTTCTGTAAAGTCTAAACAAAGAAAAAAAAACAAACAAATGTCACTTCTAATTATTATCATCGTACAATTGCTTTTACTTTTCAAATATGTCACTAAGACTGAATAAAATAAAAAAAAACTGAAGTGATGTAATATGTATTACTGATTTTCAAGTGTTTATAAGTATTCCTTATTTTTGAAATTTGTTTGATTTTTGTACTGTTTATCAAATTCTTATAAAGTTCTATACCAATGACGTAAATCTTTCCTACTTTATATTTTCTAACTATGGTCATTATCAACAATTAACCTCTTTTTCTTATTCATTTACATTATATTCTACTTTGATATATATATATATCGATTATGAATAACAGTGATATATATTGTATGTATAACTCCGCTTAGAGTGCCTCTGGGGGCTACTGCCGAATCCAAGCCTGGATAAAGGAGGAGGGTTGGACATGGGGTTAGCGACCCCATCCTGTCGGCGGCCTATGCTCCATTAGGAGTAACAGGCGTAAGTAAGTAAGTATATTGTATGTATGAAGTGGTATTGTTTTGGTTTTCATTTATAAGTTAGAGAAAATAAAAATAACTTTTTACGTTTTCCTTCTCCACAATTACTATCGAATCTATTCTATTCTTACCATTTTCACTTTGAAAGTAACGTTTTTTTTTATCAGTGTCACATTTTACCGATAAACAACTTGAATCATGATTATTATTACAGTGACATTAAATATGATCATATTTTAAACCACATGAACTAGAATCCATTTTTCAGTGAGGATATCAGCTATGAGGTACAAATGCATGCAAATGATGGATGGATCATCATGAAAGAAGAAAGGAGCCATGATACAATCTGTCAATCATAATTCTAAATTATTACCTAATAATTTAGATCTTAATCAAGTCATAATATCTACAAATCTAACAAACATTCATATTTGCTCCCTCCCTCTCTCACTCCCTCACTTACTCACTTTGAAGTTGATATTCTATAAAATATCAACGCAAAGCATTAAACATCTCAAATTGTTCATTTGATCTCATTCTTATCATGTTTGTGATATCTAAAGAAATATTTTCAATATTCAATGTGTTCCTGATATTTTTTTATACCTTTAATCATTTATTATTTCATAAGATTGGTTCATTATTGGAAATGTTGAACAAGACAGATACTATATTTCACAATTTAATAGTAACTTTCTTAACTGTTAAGTATTTAATTCTTCTGTCATCTTGACAATTCCCCATAATGAGATCAACCTCAAAAAAGTAACATTATTAATATTAGGAAAAGAATCACATAAAAATATGAAAATTCAGGTTTCCTTAGGGTTATCCTTTTACCTTATAGGAATTACAAATGATTGAAATTATTACTCCAAGAGTTATGTAGAGTGAAAGAATCTCAAAAATACACTTTGAATTGCATATCGTTGTTCAGTTTGTTAGGTAATATATAGACTTACAATTTTTTAAGAAATGTCATAACTTATGATCTAGATTTAAGAGATATTTATCCTTAAATTTGGCTATGCCCACGCTGTTTGAATAAAAGTCAAACAGGAAATTATTTATTCTATCACTACCTGTATGATTCGAACCCGTGAAGGAATTAATACATACTAACTTTAAAGTTTGCCCATGCAACACAACAGTCCCATCAACTATTTGCTTTTACTTGACAGATAATTAATCTTAATGTTTGGCTATTATTACATATGTTTTTCAGGCTTGAAAACGACTTCAATGTTTCAAAATCATGGAAAAAGGTTCCAGTCGATTCCATCCATACATCTACAAGTATATTCAGTACTCGTTCATCCACATACTATTTGCATCGTCTTGGTTTATACATCATTCATATGTTCACAATATTTCAGAGAATGTTTCGATGCTTTCTCCGCTTAATTTATACATAATGACCAGTAATTCTCATTTTGTCAGCTATCAGTATGAATTTATTTTCTTAATTTGAGCTCATGAGAATCATTGTCAATACTGTCCCAAGTAACCTGAAATTACACATAACACTAGATTTTCTAGTGGAGCTTTGACGATGATGTTATTGATAATGAAATACTTAGTTACTGTTGTTATTTAATTTAGAATGTAAACAAAAACGAAGCAAAATACCTTGTAATCAATAGTTTTACACTTTGTGTTGTTTTTTTTTGTTTAAAATACTTTATATCAACTCATAAAAAAAATAGTCATTAATAATTGACTACAACAAAGTAAACTGTCAGTGAATTAAATACTTACTATGAGTTGATAATTTATTAGTTTACTTTCTTGTGTTGACAATAGAGTTTCAAATAAATGTGCATCACGTAAAAACATCTTTACAAGAAAGAAAAAAAAAGTGACGAAAGAATAAAATTTCAAGTTAGATCATATGAACATTGAAAATTTTTCATTTCGAACATCATTCACATAATTAAACTACCTAATGAAATATAATCCATCGTAATCATTTAGTCATTTTAACAACTAGACAGTCACAAACGATTAAATTAGATGACTGTCGTACTAAATCACGAATTGGCTGAAATTGAAAACATATACTCTCCTGTTGGTCTATATTTGACACACTGATATCAAGGCCTGAATGTCTTGAATTTGATGGTTAACAAAGTCATAAGTATGAAATATTGAGTAATCTTAAACGTGGACAAAACAGTTTCCCAATGTTTTCTGGTTCGTAAAGACTCAAATACTAATAAAAGTCTATGTAAAAATCTCTTCTTCACATTGAACTAATCTTCATAATCTTCTCAATCAAATGTAGAATTCTTTATTGAAAATTATAAAAGGCATATTTCATTCTGCTCTACCTTGAAGATGCTCTTAAAATTTAAAAAAGTCGTAAAATAAACGACCATATATCAATCAACAAAAAGGGTGTTGAGACTTGCCTCATCCATCAATCACCTTTTCTTTATGCTTTACAGCTCTAATACCGAAACATCTAATACATAAATTAGTCTTGATTTTACATTTACTAGTTACTGTTATTCTTTTAAATCAATAAACGGAAAAAAATGAATAAAAACTAATGTTATGATGGGTAGATTTTCACTAATATTTAGGATTTACGTTAGCAAACTAATTTTTCCAACAATGATAAACATATTTCTATATGTATCTGCTGTACAATAATACGGTGTTCAAAATCAACTGACTGCTTCTACATTGATGATGATTTCTTGCAAACAGTCAAAGCGATTACATCTATTTACAACTTCGTATGTAAACGTATTGTTGACTTTTCTCTTTTATGTACTTTATGCAAGTTGATTGACTGTTTTAATCTACAAAATATTGAATCAACGGAATTCATTAATTTAGTATAGTTTTTTAATGAAGTCTATCTAACTTTATGTTTTTAGTTCTGATGTGTATTTTAATACGGTAAAATGTGAAATCTCAACGTATTAATTTATCATAATACTAAGTGGATTATCATAAACAGAACTAATAAATAACAAACATTAAATGTTGGCATGGTTGTAAACAAACAGATGACAATTCATGAACTCATATTTAAGTAAGAAATCCTTACAACTGTTATGTTTGTGGTTACGGTAAACTAACATAATGCTATGGTTTGTTGATATAGAAGTTCTACCTTAAATAACCAACCCTATTCAGACTTCCGGATCAATGCCTACAATTTCTCTTAGTTAAACTAATTTTTGTGAAACTCCAAAGCATACAAAGTTTGCGATACATCCCAGATAATGATAATAACTGATACTGTGGTGTATGCTGCTTACGTTGACAGACACAATTAGTATACAACACCAACCTGAAGGACAATGCCTGCAAGCAGAAGGTTGAGCAGAATGAAGTGAAGAGAAGAGAAAAGGAAAAGGATAGTAATCAAGATAATAACAAGAATGAACAAACAATGATACTTGTAAGAGAAAACTTGAAAAAGACGTGCAAATGATATATTTGATGTATGATTTTCACATCATACTGGACCATTGTGTGGTTGTACATTAAACAATAAATCGGCCCTCCCCCATTCAAGTGTTTATTCACTACAATACTTATAAAATCATACTTATGAATGTGGAATAAAATACATTCTCATACTAATGAACACTATACACTAACTGATGATTTACTTCACAATGTTGAAATCCGTATCTCATGTAACTCCACTTTCAACAGTTGTTAATTAGCATACCTTGTGTATGATGATATTGTTTTGTTTTTAAAACTATACATTCAGCATGTATTGAAGAATATATATGAAAATAATATCAACAAATTATTTATAATTCATTATAATGTAAACTCCCTATTCTACTATTCCACAGACACAATTATTGCAGACAAAAATTATTCATATAACATTAATCAATATTAGAAGGTTTATTTAGATAAATCTGTTTTAATTCACTTGGTATTGTTTAGCTTATATCTTCCCATTGAGGTTTAGGACTGCAATTGATCAGTCTGTCATTGGCATATGTGCATACTGTGTGTATGCCTTGATATTACCTTAATTCACAAGCTATTTGTAAGCAATGATGGATAGTGGCTAGCAGTGGAATCCAGGACGCGCGTTTCGTCCTATTCGGGACTCGTCGTCAGCTGGATGTACCTGCATCTCAGAGAGTTGATGTTCACTCTGGGACTCGAAATCAGTACCATTAGCTTCAAACGCCATCGCGTTATCCACTCAGCTACTGGGTTCTGATTGCCACTTGCTTGTGCAATGGGGTGAATTTGAATTCTGTTTTAAGTCTTCACAAACAATGATGACGTGAAATACATGGTTAGTTATATTAAATAATGTTTAGTTGCAGTAAGAAGTAGTTAAATTAAAAGGACATTTTTCAGCATTCTACAGTGTATCCATTCACAACGTTTTCTAATTCGAAAACAATGTAATCTCACTCAACGATATTTGGTATGAAAAATCAAAAGATCATATTCCGACAACTACTGACTGATAATTCCAAATAGGTAGTTCAGAATGGTACAGATACAACTTCATTAAAAGTTGCACATATGTTTAAATATAACAAATGGTTTATAATAAAGTTCAATTTTTCTTCAACCCACCTGGAAGTTTAAATTCTGTTGTAAAAGTTTTTGTTCATATGACCACATTTGCATTAATTCTGACCAACCGTTTTCTAATCTATCTAAACGTTGGTCAAGTTGTATGTAATGTGCATCTGTTTCACCAGCTGTAATACATCGTCCGTAACTTATTAAATCACTATATTCATCTTTACGAGCTAAAATCTGTTCACCTAACTCTTTATGCATATCAATTTCAGCTTTGGCTTCTTCTACAGACAGTGGCAATTGATGTGTTGCTACACGAATTTCAATATTACGTAACCATAACTGATTTTCATCTAAACCCTAAGCAAAAGAAAGAATTGACAATTTTGTTTGTGTAATTCTGCTTTAATTGTCATGTAAATAAAAGAACATCCGGTATTAATATTAAACAAATCTTAATTTTAACTTCTAGTATAAACATTTTCAGTGGTTACGCAACAACATCAAAAAATGAATCACTATTTTTTGCCTTTTATATAAAAAGCTAAAATTAATCTTCATCACACTATAGATGATTAAAAATAAGTATCAGAAGGGGTTTTGTGGAGATTTTAGTAATTTCACTGATTGAAATCATGAGTCAATTGAAGCCAGACAACCATGGAAAACCTGGAGGCCCAGGACGGCCGTTTCGTCCCAGTATGGGACTCCTCAGCAGTGCGCACACACGATCCCGCACCCCATGAGATTTGAACCCACAATCAAATTTTCAGGTCAACTATAAAGTTAACAGAAATTCCGCTATTTATAAATTAAATATTATATTTAACATTTTTACTACTTAATGTAGTAATATGTATCCAATTTAATCTTTTAATGACGCAGTAATAATTAACTATAATACAACATTGAACAGTTTTACATTTAGATATAAAATAAACGGAAATTAAAAACTGAGTACATTCTATTTCATTATAATTGGGAGTTAGTTACTTTGTCCATATATTACTATTACCACTTCTATTAACATCTGATATTCACCAGCCATAAAATGAAGAAATGAATTGTGAAATTATGGTAACTGTTCTATTTTATATATTCCCATTCAGACTTAAAATATAAAACTTGATCAAAAAGATATTTGTTTTCAGCTGAATGTTCATCATAACTCAACATTAATACAAAGTTTTACATCTAAACATAAAACAAAATACCACTTCACAAGTGATAAACAAATCAACGTAATAATAATAATAAAATGGAGTGAGAAAAGTGAATTTGTTGAGAAGTCCCACACAAGGACGAAACGGCCGTCCACCGCTTCCATGTTTTAATTTACTGTAATATTCACAAAACCTTTCTTTGATTATAAACATCATATGCTCATTAGTTACTGCCTTCAAGATGTACTTCCGGGAGTTCTAGTGAGAAGCAGTTACCAGTGGAGTTCAACCTAGTCTGTTGTGAGATATTAACTCACTGAAGACAATGGTGGACGTCGGTGCAATTTCTGGGATTGGTTGAAGTTAGACATTAACACCCTGGGTGTCAGCTCAGTGGTCTAGTGGTTAAGCGCTTGCACGTGAGGTTGAAAGATCACGGGTTTGAATCTCGCGAGGCATGATTTTGGGTACGCACTGATAAGGATTCCCACACTAGGACGAAACGGCCACCCCGTGATTCTAGGTTTTTGATGATGTTCTAGCAATAAGTGACTCATGAACTCAACAATTAAATAAGAATTGGAAAGAACTTAATCTTTGGTTTTCTATAGCGTGATTATGATCATGTGTTTTTACACTTAATTCAGATTTTAGTATCGATTTTGTTATACTGAAATGTTTAATTCATAGCTATCGCTACGAAAATCCATCATATAAAAAAATAACAACATGGAAGATTAAACTGTGATCATAATATGAATTTTATTAGGACTGTTATGGAAACTCAAACGTTTAGATTGATTTCATATATTAGTAGCTAATTTATCCCGTTCAAATGACATTAATTTGTTTCGAAATTACTTCTAACTTTAGCCATAACGATGCTAAAAATAAAATGATGTCTACAGAGACTAAATAGCTAACAGTTTCTCTCCTAAATAAATCATCGAAGAGTTTTCTTTGAGAGGATTCAGAAACACTCAAGACATCAGATAAGTATAGCTTCGAAATTGAATTTTTTAATTAAAGATTATGATCGATCCCATGAAGTATGTATCATAGAGTCGTAGACAATTTCATATTCTAATTCTTTGGAAAATTTATGAATTTCATTCAACGTTGAAAATGGTCTCTAAGTACTTACAACATTTATTGTTTATCTACTGAATAAAAAACCTTATAAAAGTCAGTTGGAATCTCAAAGGTTTTATCCATATCAAAGTATCTTGCTTAGAAAAAAAAATTAAAAATAGAAAATCGCACTTATATCCTGAATATTGAATTTTATAAGCAATTTGAAATGATAGTTTAGTTAAACACTATAACTTTTCAATTAAATGTTAAAAAGCGCATTTTTAAACTTGTTATTATTGAACAATAGAAAATTATTCACAGATTGAAATCATGAGTCAATTGAAGCTAGACAACCATGGAAAACCTAGAAGCACTGAACGGCCGTTTCGTCATAGTATGGGACTCCTCAGCAGTGCGCACACACGATTCCGCACCCTGCGGGAAAATTATCTATTGACTGATTGACTTTCTAAAAATCGTCTACAACTGGATTTATTCTTATCTCCGTTTGAAGAAAGAAAAATGATACATAGCGAATAGTAGAAGGCATCTTATTTATCGAATAGATTTTACCCCGAACTACTTTGAACATGCAATCTTTCGTATATAAATAATAATGTCTTTTTTGAATATTCTTGCATAGATTAACAAAAACCCATATATTAATCATAAGATTGACTAAATAATTATCACCTGAAAAAATTGTTGCAGTTCAGCTGAAGCTAATAATTTGTCTTGTCGACTTTTTAACTCTACTTGTAAAAGTTCCCATTCCTGATTCAACTCTAATCTTAAATGATTGACTTCTTTTGAAGCATACAATTCTCCGGACATAAGGTATAAATCTCTTCTTTGTGGAGCTTCCTGTATTAAGGCTTTCAATAATCTTTCACCTTCTACATTAAGACTTTGGATTTCATCTTGTAATGCAATAAAATCTTTTTCCCAACCTAGTAATCTTCTTTGTAATTGCATAACACTATTTAAATCTGTGCCTAAATCATCAGTTGAGATGAGTAATTCTCTTTTACGTATTATCCATTCTTTTGTACTTTGACATAAAGTATGGTATTTTGATAAATATGCTGCCAATTCAAATCGTTCATGACGTGCATTGAGTAAAAGCTTCAAACGTTGCCATTTCTTGTTAATATAATCTAATAATTTTGAATATTTCGGTTCGTCAACATTGTTGTCGTCAGTTTGTTCATCACTAAAGTTTTTCGATGTACGGAGGTAAAACATTTTATTTTCATGGTTAGTTTCAACAAATTCTTCACTAATTTCTTTATCCACACTGATTTCATATGGTTTATCTCTGGATTCACTACAATCCTCTTCCTCCTGTGCCTCTTTATTATCATCATCATCAACATCATCTTCATCGTCATTTACATAATCCTCGACTGATAAATTAAGTTTTATAGTAGACTGAATAAATTGAAGAACACTAAAATCCCTTTCTTTGTCAAGCTTCTTTAAATTTTCCGATAATCCTTCATTAAGCATTCCGATTTCACTTAATCTTAAATTTGCATGACTTATTAGTTCATGTTTAAACGTTTTAAAACGATAAGCTTGTATAGAGAGTTGTGATATAGCATGAATAATTTCTTCCGTAACAGTAATAGGACATGGTATTGGTAAAGATGTTAAAAACTCCATCGAAGGATATATTACAGGATTGAATGTTAACAAAATTCTCTCCCTTTTTTGAAAATAAAAACAGGAAAGAAGATATAGAAATGAAAGTTAGACTGGATTTGGCAAAACAAGGATTTTTCACGCAAAATAAAATAGTTCCTGCTGACTATTTCATTTACTGAAGCTAAATTATCAGACTTCATGCTACTTAACATAGAAGCATTACCTCATTAAGAAAGGCATTACTTTGTACCTATCACCTCAAGTGCTAGCATGTAGCTAGTTATATGGATCGTAAAGGTCATGCTCACTTTGAACTAATCTCTGGGATTTCCCTGTCTCATAATCAAAAACTGAACGCAACTTGGTAAACAACATCATTAAAAAATGCCGAAATTCCACCACAACAACCATTCATATGTGTGCAATAAAACAAAACAAATGAAATGGCTCAAAAGAACCATGTGTATTAGAAAATGTTTTTGTGAGCTCAAATGTGAGATACCTAATCCCTCATTTTATAATGATTCCAACAATCATTTTGATTATGCAAAATTTTGTCAGATAAATGATCGTTTCCTTATCGTCTTTACATTCTTCTGGTGAATATTTATTTTAACACCTCTTATTTATACGTTAGTTTCACTTAACTGTTTTTCATTACCCTTTGAACTATTCAGTAACTTATCTTCTACTTTGTAAAGATTAGTTACATATCATCACTTAAAAATCTGGAAATTCAGTTAACACACTAAACATATAATCACTTGTATACAACTAGACACTGTTTTATCAACCGCTGAGTAGACTTGGCAGTTAAATTCATTTCTGGCTAAATTATTAGAAAGATGAGATTAGATCCATAAGTAGTGATGAACAAACTTTAAGTCCTATATCAACCAAATAAGGTGGATGTTTTTATTCTTAGGTGCTACTGAATTTTCGATGATTTTTTTTTATAAATTTCAGTTGAAAATGGGGTGGTGGGGGATCAAACTTCTCAACTTAAAACTAAGCAAAATTAATATGGTTGATCAGTGTAAAAAAAAAGAGTAAATGTCAACTTACTTTTCTTCAATCCAATTTCCCATTGATACAATATTGTCAACAAGACGTAAAACGTTACGTTGAAGTTCCAATTTATCTCTTATTTTTAAACTGTCTTCTAAGCAATCTATGAATTGCATATGAATAAAACTTAACCTATTTAATAAATGATAAGCAATCATTGAAATATGTGGAAGTAATAATATGTGTAATTCATGTTCTTCAGGGGAATTTATCGGAGTTCTATAAATTTGTTCAGAATATTTATTATCCTCATTGCCTTCAGTACTACTAATGATAGGTTTTGTTGATGTAAACAACAATCCCTGTAGACTATTCTCAGACTCAGTAGCATCCAAATTCATTTCACAATCAGTTTGTTGTAAATTCAGTGTTTCATGCAATGTGGTTGTTCCTAGGAGTTGATTTTTGTCTATCTTCTCTTCTTTATCATCTTCAAGACTGGATTTAGAAATAGCAGAACCTATATCCTCTTGAAATGATGAACCAACTGTTTGTAGACCAGTTAGTGAAACTACATCACTACGATCACTGTTATAATTGTCTTCATTATTGGTGTTTTGTTGTTTAGCAGACTGAAATGTTACTTCCACACGGGATTTTCTAGATCTGTAGAGAATATTTAATTTGGTCTTCAAGAGATGAAATTCTGAATAATCATTTTCATTCAGGACAGATCTGGCTGGTAGAAAAGCATATACTTCATTTCGTAGTCCATTTAAATGAGTAGTAAATAATTTCAACTGTTCAATTATCTGAAAACAAAATCATTGGAATTTAATTTTAGATAGTTAAATAATTTTATCACTTGTGAAAACTGTACTCAAATCAGAACACTAAGCACCATTTGTTATGACCGGATATGGTGAATAAGTATTGAGGTTAGTATACGATAATTCGGTAATTAGGGGATTGTTAAAATGAATAAAGAAACAAACTATTGAAGCAATCATCTTTACATAATTATATTTCTTGTCTAAGCCTAAGCATCTTTCTAAATGCTTTCTTTAGCCTATCTCGTTTTATCCTTTTTATTAATTCATATACTCGCTCCGTTTATTTGAGATGAATATGTATATGTATATGCTAATATTGACTGGTTTAGTTACTTGTTTAATTTTAAGTAGCTCATACAACTTGACCAGATATGACTACTACTACTACTACTAACATTGTTTGCACCAGCATTTTATATCCCTAGAGAAATATCATTGAGAAACGTGCGAAATTATTTAAAATGACTAATGTGCTCAATCATTCTGATTAACAAGTAAATTATATAGAGTAAAGAAAAACAATAAATTAAATTAACAATATTCTCAGTAATGTAGTCATTAAATGCAACATTCTCAAAAAAAAACGGTAATAAAGAATTATATATCTTTTACAATAAAATCAATAATAATCAATTCAGCTAGTTGATCAAACGAATTCTGATTACATTAGTTTTCTGTTCGTCATGCTCCTTAGACTTACTAACTTACTTACACCTGTTACTCCTAATGAAGCATAGGCCGCAGGCCGGCATTCTCCAACCCACTCTGTCCTCCGCCTTCTTTTCTAGTTCCATCCAATTCTTTTCCATTTTTTTCATGTCTATCTCCATTTACACTAGGTCTCAATATACACTAAGGGAAAAGCAAGATTCTCCGATACAACACAGCATGCACCAATCCTGTCACAATCGACAGAAAAGACTTGGAAGATTTAACAACCCTTACATATTTGAGCAGCATCATTGATGAACACGGTGGATCTGATGCGGATGTGAAAGCGCGGATCGGTAAAGCAAGAGCAGCATATTGACAACTGAAGAACATCTGCAACTCAAAACAACTGTCTGTCAACCAACACCAAGGTCAGGATTTTCAATACAAATGTCAAGACAGTTCTACTGCATGGGGCGGAAACCTGGAGAACTACAAAAGCCATCATCCAGAAAATACAAGTGTTTATTAACAGTTGTCTACGCAAAATACTTCGGATCCGTTGGCCGAACATTATTAGCAACAACGTACTGTGGGAAAGAACAAATCATATCCCAGCGGAGGAAGAAATTAGGAAGAAGCGCTGGACGTGGATAGGACACACATTGAGTTAAGCACACAACTGCGTCACGAGACAAGTCCTCACATGAACTCCATAAGGCCGAAGGAAAAGTGGAGGACGAAAGAACACATTACGCCGGGAAATGAAGATAGACATGAGAAGAATGGAAAAGAATTGGATGGAACTAGAAAAGAAGGCGGAGGACAGAGTGGGTTGGAGAATGCTGGTCGGCGGCCTATGCTTCATTAGGAGTAACAGGTGTAAGTAAGTAAGTTGGAACTGAATGTTTAGTTTTACACGATTGGATACTTTTATTCAAATAAAAACGTTATATATGTATTCATCATTTATCTAATCCAGTAATAAATTTTCGGTATCTATGTATAATTGTAATAAGCTAATTATAAATCATTCATTTCAGTACACAAGAGTTCTGTGTAGAAAAAAATTCCTTTTTCATTAATGTATTTGAAGAACAATATTTAGAAATGGGTATAAAACGTTTTTCATTGATTTATTATTTCTTGACTAAGATAAACAATTTCCGATAACCTATGAACTTTGAAGTTATCACAGAAGTTCTATGGTTTTTTAAAGCCGTAAGAACTGGGTCCAAGTTATGATCAGACATTATTATTATTGAAATTTTCTTGGAGTGATTAAAACATTCACCTTTAAATTTTTTTATTTCTACTAATATATATATTGATGGAGATTTGTTCTCTGAACTGGATGGTTTGGTCGTGGAGCTTTCATCCATTTTTTGAACGACACCATCAGCAAAAACTTCAGATGGAAGTGAAATGTCCGGATTTGTGCTGATGATGTCGTTCAGAAGAACGACGAAAGCTCCACGACCAAACCATCCAGCTCAGACAACAAATCTCCATCAAAATCATTTACTTGAGCTACAAATCTTCTCCACCATATCCAATATATATATATATATATATATATATATCATAGTCGAAATTTCGTACTTGATTGAACGATATAATCTTGCTATAAGTGCACGTTTTCATTGTCAAATCTTAATCCAATTAATGACATCTGGTAATAGGGTAGAATTTATTATGCAATTTTTTAGGTTTATTAAAAAATAAAATAAAATAAAATGATATTTCTAGTTTTGTTGCTTATTAAAGACAAACTCATAAAATGTTGCTATCAAATTTAATGAACATTCATTTCAACATGGTCACTATAGGTTTGTTCATTTTAAATCCATTTAAAAGGAAATCTAGATTACTTACATGATCCATTTGCCTTAATGTTGAATTAATCACAATTTCTTTATTAATTGTTAAAGCTTTTTGTTCTCCCAATGTATTAGTAATAACATTTTTATTCATTGTTGTTGATTTCATTCTTATTTTATACGTATCAATTACTTCATTCTGAGTTGATTTATCTCTAACAGGTTCAAGACAGCAGTCGGCAAGCATTGATGTCAACTGAACACTATTGTATGTTTCACTAATTCTTAAATTAGTTTCTTCGATTTTAGTATTGAGCATGACCAAGCTATATAATCCATTTAAATATTGATTATGTCTTGCCAGTTTACCATTTATGTCTTTAATTGCAATCAGTAATTTACTCCATTGTCTTTGTAACAATTTAACGAATTCAACTACTTTTGTACAACGTTCTTCGTGTTGAATATTCTGATCGTTAGTACATGTTGAATTATCCAGAGGAAAATTTGATAGATGCATATTTCCTAAAGATAATATAATATCTTCATATATTCGTAGTAATGGGCATTTTTTCAAGTCCCCAATGATTTCATTTCCATTATATTCTTCAGTTTCATTTGATTTGTATTCATCAAGATGTATGTTATTAAAAATACTCATTAGGGAAATATCATTCATGGTTAGTTGGTTGAAATTCATAGGGTTCAACTTAGTTGTAATTTGATGTAATTCTTCATACAATGTTTGATTTGATGAAGAAAAATGATGGTCATAATAATTAATTCCGTATCTTAACTGAAGTTCCTTATTAAGTAGATGTAATCTACTTTGCAAATGATGAGTCTGTACACCAACCTGACCGAAATTTTCAACGAGTTCCTCTTTAAGAAATTCAAGGGGTTTAATTGAATCATTTTGATCCTAAGTAAATATGAAGAGGAAAGAAAAACTGTACATTTAGTACTTTCAAAGGAAGAATTTTTACTAGTTACAAAACTTAGATAAATAATAACTTCACTTGGTATTGTTTACTTGAATCTTCCCATTGATGAATAGGACTGCAATTGATCATTGTTTTATTGACATATGTGATTCCTGTGCAGATTGCCTCGGCATAGCCTTAATTCACAAGCATTATAAGTAAAGATGGATAGAGGATAGAAGTGGAAACCACAACGCGCGTTTTTTACATATTTGGGTTTCGTGCGCTGGGTGTACCTGCATCTCAGAGTTGATGTTCATTCTGGGGTTCGAACCCAGTACCGTTTGCTTCAAACGCCATCGTGTTATCCACTTAGCCACTTACTTTTACAATTAAATACACTTGGTATTGTTTATTTGATTCTCGAATCCGGTTTATTTCTGCAAAACACTAGAAGCAAACTTTAAACACTCATTGAAAGTCGTTTACAATTGTTCCATCATCTTGTTTATATGTTTCAAATGCTGCATAAGTTATACAAGTCCCACAAGATAGTTTGTATGGTGTGAGAATTTCCATTTAGTCAAGTTTTGTATGAATCCTATAACTCTCATTTCATAACAGTTTACTCTCCATCATTGACTTTGACGACATGATGTTTAAATTAAACTTGCGGTTTGAATGTATATCTATAGAACGTAATTAATACATATTGGAAAGAACATTGTTTATTCATATATTCGCTTTCTAAATCCACATTAACCAACATTCATACGTTTATGAGAATGAGTTTTTTAGGAGAAAATATAACACCGCGTATAGTTTCACTTAAGACTATGTAACTGGATATTTATAGACTATATTTAAATCATTAGTAATTTGTTCACCGGAAATGTTACCAGTCTGTAAAAGCCGTATCGTTAAACATTACACGCTACACTTCTTACAAATACACTTTTTTGTTAACATACTGTTATTCTCCTCACATTAAATTCAAGGTCTCGTTTACAATTCATATATAAGCATTCTGTTTAGTCATATGAAGTCATTTTGTTGAGTAACGTATTATTATCCTTATGTGATCACAGTTAAAACTTACTTGTAACATTATATAACATTAAACCTCACTGAATTTTAACAAACAAACTGAGTTTCGCTCTCAATAACTTTTCATTGCAGTTAGTGCGTGGCTTGAGAGCATAATATCCGGAGGCAGTATATTGTTGCGCATATTGTGTGCGTCGTTAATGACTCAAGGGGGGTCTTTAAACCTATCACTGTTTGTGACAATTATTAACCTATTAGTGGATGGAACGACTATGAGATAAACTCCATTTGTTATTAGAATAACAGATTTGTGGAGATTATCCTATTATGAAATCGTTAACGTCACGGTTTGATGTTTCTTAGATAATCATCGAGATAGTTATCAATTACGGTTCTGGATAATCATCCCGTAATATAACAAATCAGCACAAAATAGGAATGTTAGCCGATGAAAAGTCAGCTCATTAATTTAAAGTGTTAAACCCAAGGTCTAGTTGTCTATTGTCCGATTGTTGGTGAATATCCCAGTCCATACTGTTTATTAATCCAAAAATATGATAGAGTGTGTCCGATCCTTCCTAGAGTTCAATGGTTATTTAGTCAAAGTCAGTCTGTGACGTTAACAAGCTTTAACTGCGTCACTAAGACCACCTCTAATCCAATTTCCTTTGCAGATACCTCCAGAAGAACCCATCCATGGTGTGGGCAACCGGGAAGTGATAACCGCCCTCACACCTCTAACAGCACACGAGACCACTGTATTCGCAATGCACCTCCCTCTTCAGTTCCTATTATACCTCCTACATCGACTTTCAACACTAAAATTCCTCTTTTGGCTTCGTCCTAAAGTGTTACCATAGCTAACGATTCTAGTGTGCAAAACACTATCCCAGGTCTACTGAAACCTCGCTCCAAACTACAAGCTGGAGCCTTCAAAGTACGCACCCTACGTCAAATCGGCCAGCAGGTCTCCATGGCTAAAGCCCTAGAATCTCGTGACACTGATGTATACTGTGTCTCCGAAACGCGTATACAGGATCCTATTGTGATCATTCACTTGATCTCATCTCGCCAAAATGGAGGGCCGACGAGATAAACCCTCCGCGTATCTGGCGACTCGATTGCTAGTTTTCGTGGACTGGCAGGTGTAGGCGTAGCACTGTATACGAGAGTAGAACAAGCACTATTATAATGGATCCCCGTCAAAAGTCTATTTGCTGTTCGGCTGGACGGCTCCGTAAGAACTCAAGGGACAGGGACACACGTCGTTGCCTTTTCGACGTTTCTCCTACGCTCCCACTGACTGCGGTTCAGATGAAGTGAAAGATGAATTTTATAGAAAGTTTTCTGAACTTCTTTAGAAAGCTAAACGTTCAGACATAGTACTCATAGCAGGTGACTTTAATGCCCAAGTAGTTAGCTTAAACCTAACGAAAAGACATTTAGGTGGGCAATTCTGTATTTCGGCTCAGCGAACAGATAATGGTGATTGTCTGCTGCAACTGTGCTCAGACAATCGTTTATATTTAGTAAACACTAATTTTAAGCATAAGGAGAGACATCGTCTAACATGGCGACCCCCTGCACCAAACCAACGTTGGATTCAAATAGACCATATTGCTATCAGTCATCGTTGGAGAGGCTCTATAGAAGACTGTTGCTCGTTCCGGAATACATGTTGAGACTCTGATCATGCTCTAGTACGAGCACAAACTTGCTTGTGTCTCACTGGACGCAGAAAAACCACACCAAGAAGACCCATTGGAATTGAACTCAGTGACGAGAAAGCCAAAAGTAGATTCCAGGAACAACTGATATCACACTTAGATAGTTCTGAAAACGAGGCTGACCCAGATGTTGCTTGGAAAGATATACAAACAGCTGTGGAAGCAACAGTGACATGGATTAGTGGTTTAAACCAACAGGTCACGAAAAGTCAGTGGATTTCTATCAAGTCAGCTGCACTAAAGGATTCTCTTAAAATCATCCCATCAGGCTCCGAACACAATGAAGAGCGAAAGCAAACCAGATCTAGGTTAATCAAAAGTCTAAGAAACGACCGTGAGCAGTGGTGGGCAACGGAAGCAAAAGAGATGGAAAAGGTGCTGGCTGTAGGTAACACAAGACCTCTTCAGAATAGTAAAAGGAACTGCAGTGAGACGATCTCGGAAAAAAGACTACACTCTCATCTGCTACCAGTTCAGACGTTTAGAACGATGGGCGGAACACTTTAAGGAGCAGTTCAGCTGCCCTTCAGCTACTCTACAACTACCCTCCATTCCCAGACAGCGTGAATGGAACATTGAAGTAGGTCCCCCAAATCTAGCTGAAGTTCAAAAGGCCACAGTTAATCTGAAACGAGGAAGGGCAGCTGGTCCAGATGGATTGGCTCCAGAGGTCTTTAAGTATGGTGGTCCAGTTTTAGCAATTAGGTTGACTAATATTTTAGCTAAGATCTGGGAGTTAGACGTTGTTCCATCTGGTTACAATCACTTATCGTCCCAATATATAAGAGAGGGGTAAAATCATCCTGTGAAAACCATAGAGGGATTAGTTTAACTAATATAGTATCTAAAATACTAGCCTCGATAATTATCAGACGCCTAATTAAGACTCGTGAACTGCAAACACGAGAGAATCAAGCTGGCTTCAGACCTAGTCGTGACTGCACCGACCACATATTCACCATTCGTCAGGTTTTAGAACACAGGCATACTTATCGACGTTCGACAATGGTTATCTTTCTTGACTTAAAAGCAGCATTTGACTCCGTAGACCGCGAGATTCTGTGGCAGTGTCTGTCATTAAAAGGTGTACCCCAGAAGTACGTCAACCTTGTGAAGGCTCTATACTCGAACACTACCAGTCGAGTCAGAGCTTATGGCGAACTGTCAGCTGCTTTTGCAACCTCAAGTGGTGTCCGTCAAGGTTGTCCACTTTCTCCATTTTTGTTTGACTTCACCAGAGACCTACTGATGGAAATAATGTTCACGTCGACTGAATTCTCGGGTACTGATCTCCACTTATTGACTTAGAATACCCAGATGATATAGTCCTGTCTGGTGAAGACACCGATAAAATGTAGTGTCTTTTGATAGCACTGAGCAGCAATGCCAGAATGTTTGGGATGCTCTTCTACCCCTCTAAATGCAAGTCGTTGCTCTCGGATTGGTCTGCGTCAACACCTGATCTAAGGATAGGGAGTGAAGTAGTCGAACGCGTTGACAACTTCACTTATCTTGGAATTCTGATCAGCCTTAATGGGTCAATGTCTCACAAAATCTCGGCACGGATTCGGAAAGTTCGTTTGGCTCTTGCCAACTTACGTTACCTATGGCGAAGGCGAGATATGCGTCTATCAATAAAAGGACGAGTATACTGCGCGGCAGTTTATTCCGTTTTACTTTACGTCTGCGAAACGTGTCCATTAAGAGTTGAATATATTCAGAAGCTACTAGTGTGTGACCATAGATGCCTTAGAAATATTGCTGGCATCTGCTGGGACCATCGGGTAAGTAAGAGTGAGGTTAGACGCAGGGTATTAGGGAATGATGGTAAACCAGTTGATGATGTTGTGAATCTTCATCGACTGAGATGGTTGGACCATGTGTTACGTATGCCTGAACACTGATTACCACGACGCGCAATGCTATCCGGTATTAGAGGTGGTTGGAAGAAAGTTAGAAGCAGCCAAACCAAAACGTGGCATCAGTGCTTGAAGCCACTGACTTCTGGTACGAGCCATGTTGGTAGATGCGAACTACTTGGTTGGGGTCCGCGTGACTATCGTAACCAATGTTTGGAGACTCTGGGTCACAAGGCTGAGAATCAATCAGAATGGCGTAGGTGTATACACTCTCTGTCTTCCCTTAAACTAAGAGATTAAAATTATTTCATATCTTTCTTCGTGTACTATTTCCTTATTGCAATCTTTCTTTTATATATTACAACCATTGAGTTAACTACTATGTATTCGATGTTCATCTTGTTGTGCTAATGAGGTATGGCAACTTGAACCGATGCATATATGTGCCTGGTCCTACGTTATAGCTGAGTGAATGACTAAAGTTAACGAAGTACGGTATCACCTGACGCATCAAAAACTGTACATTTAACTAAATAAGTTCTATATATGTAGCTGAAAAATTCCCATTATATTAAAACACAATGATATGAACGAAGTATATTCTTTTCAATGAATTTCTTATCAGCTTCTACAATTATAAATCTAAATTATAATAATCCATAAAATTTGCCAGATTTAAGGCAGAGTACGTTATTTAGAATTGTTTATATGTAAATCAAAGATTGTTGTTTGTCATATCAAATCAAATCAAATCGTTAACATTGGGGTTAACTAATATGAAGTTGTTCACTTGAATCAGTTTCTAAGTGAAATGAAATTCTGAGATAAATAATGATCAGGATAAATATGGTCAACATGGGGTGAGAGAGAGAGAATAGTGTAATTGCAAATCAGAAATTACGTCATCTGTAGAATAATATGAGTTAGGTGAGATATAGTAGATTTAGGGGTGGATACTGAATGAATTCCTCAAAATGTTTATCAAGTGTAATAATAAATAATAATAGTACGATAAGTTTGGGACATAAAAATGAACATTAATCAAATGACGTCATCGTATTATAAAATTGATTATTAACTAGTTGGCCCCAAAGTTGGCCAAAGTCAAAGGAGCGACTAATTTGATTTTATATTCTTGATTCACAGATAAACAATTTCCAAATGATGTACTCTACCTTAAATCTGGCAAATTTTATGGATTATTATAATTTGGATTTATAATTGTAGAAGCTGATAAGAAATTCATTGAAACAAATATCCTTCGTTCATATCATTGTGTTACGTACATCAATGAGTAAAAGTTCATTATCATCATCATTTCAACAACAATCAACTAACTTTTATCCATAATAATTCTTCATTCATTTCATTTAATAAACCATATACATTTTTTATTGTTGTATTCCATTGACTTATATCTAATAAAATCTTTTCAAGATTTGTATGATACAATTGAATAGATTCTAAACTATGCATAATATTGATTTGTAAGTATGATCTTGATTGATGATTATTATCATCATCAAGATCTTTCTTTTCAGAATGATCTATTCTATACAATAAAGTTTTTACAGATTCAATCCATATAACGAGTTGATTGATATCTATTTGTAATCGATTTAAATATGTATCAACTGAATTGGTTTTATTTTCTTTGATAAATTGATTTAATTGTTTTAATTGATTATTAATTATTTCTAATTGATCATTGAATTGTAATAAATAATCTAACCATTCTTGACATAATTTTAAATCATTTGCACGATTATATAATTTGATTTGTAATAGATGATTAGTCATTAATAAATGATCCCATTGTTTTTTATATTTATCCCATTGTAATTGAGGCATAGATGATCCTGTTAACCTTTGTAATAATTCATTTAATTTATGTAATTTTAAATGGATATAAATTTCTGTATCATTCATGAAAGCGGAATGTTTCTGTTGAGATGATGTTATTTGATGACGAGAATTGATTAAATGATGAAGTGGAAATTCCTGCTGAAATTCCTGTGATTGTTCATGAGTAGTAGTTAAATGATGAATCAAATATACTTCGAATAAATTCATTTGTTCTAAAAATTTCATGTCTTCAGTTTGTGATGCTAAATTAATAATTTGCATATTCTCTTGTAACCAATTCAAGCATAATTCAATTTTACGTTCATATTTTATGCCTAATAGACTTACATTTTCCTGGAATTAGAAAACAACAAACATTGAAAGTTGTTAAACGATCATGAATAAAACTGTTATTGGTTATTTAGGATCACAATCTATCAGTCACTTATAGGCATATGTGTATCGTGTGCAGATTATCACGATATTCCCATCGAGTCACAAGCATTTTTAGCTACCTTCAATCAAGAGATACCTAATACAAGAGTACGTCATAAATTTATAGAATAAGTGAAATATAAATAGTAGTGGAATCCAAGACGAGCGTGCCGTTTCAGTTGGGACACGTTCATCGCTGTTATGGATTACATTCTGCTGGGAATATGCAAGAAAGTAGTGTATATGTTTCTAAGAGAAACATTTTGTCGCGATACCGTATTATTTAACCTAGAAATTTCGCTTTACGCTAGTTTTGCTTGTTCGGGATCTTCGTTATCGTAATAATGTCAGTTCAAGTACGACTTAAAACCAAAGACAAATAACTAATTCACTCTATCATGAAATTATTTATCTTGAGATATCGGTAGAAGTAAACATGAATTTCAGTAAGACCTTCATTAAACAATCTCGTTTCCAGATTTGGATTTTGAAGTAGTCAATATATTTTGATTGGTTTGTAAGTGAAGATATGTGATTATTATTACTTGACCTTTTTATGTGACAAAAGTTTACCAAGTATATACAATACCAGTAGTTATGAAGCTTTAAATTACAAGATATAAAAGTTCTTTGGTTCTAACAGTATGATAGGGCTACTTAACGCTTTTATTGCCAAATAATGAGATTGTCTTTGGTTCCTATTATCATAAATGTCATCATGGAAATGCCATTATCCACTGAAAACTTCATCTAAACGATGAATTAATGTCCATGAATTTACTTTGAATTCATGGTCATTGTTATTCAAAATCTGGTTAAAAACACCATGTAGTTAGCTGATATAAGCTCCAGTAATACTATCCAAAATATTTTCAAACTAACCAAAGGTGTTAATACTGTGATTGACTAATGTATTTAAGAAACAAGTTACTTTTTAAAATGAAAAAGTGAAATACTAAGTGGTTCTACCTGGTTATATAACTGGATCCAAATTAGATTTCAGAAACTATTTGATTTACTTTCTCTAGAAGCTTTGAAAATAAATTTTGTAGAACAATATAAGACTATCTAAATGCCAACAGCGACAGTTAACCCGATAACTGAATTTCATGATTAGTGTTAAATATGTTTCTGAGAACCTAATATATCATTTGAGAAGATATGTAGCCAAATAATTAGATGTTCACCAGCATATATTATACTGTAACGTACACTAATCATCTCTCATTTTAATAAGCTGCTGTATAACTCCGGTACTATAGCAGTGTATTTAATGTCTACAAGCCGAATAGCTCAATCTATAAGACTTCATTCCTCCCCCTCTAAAAAAACTTATAAATTGAAAAAGCTCTGTGCATGTCTGGAAGCGCTTACACATTATTTGTACACTTACTAATAAATCACATTTTAGTGATTGTTTTATGAACATTTTTTATAACCTGGTAGTTTAACGGATTGGGCATATTACAGTACAGTTGTTGGCTTATTTAAATTTTAATTAATCTTAAATATCCTCATATCTTAAATTCTTCCAGTGAAGCACATATTCATGGTCTTCACAAGCATTCCTAAGGATGAACCATTTATAATTCTGGTAATTATTTAGATTTGTTCATGACCTTTGACTTCTATTTATTTCGATGTCGTTTATCATGTTTCAGATTGTAGACATTTCGTAGGCTATTGGGCAGTAAAAATGGCAAACACCTTGATATGTTAATGGTAGTATCCAAGGTATTTTTCATACAAAAGTAAGAAAGCTTCTTCTTGAAAATTAGTGATGAATTTGCTAAGTATATTATGATATTGGAAAAACCAAATCATTTGCCTTCTGATTTAAATTTTTGGTAATTTCACATCAATATGAAAATGTAACTGATTGTAAACTGCTCAATCATTGCTATTTTGAAAATTGATATTCGATACGTAATGAATGGTTTACAGCATATTTATTCGATGGCCCTAAAAATCTCCTTGGTTAGTACAAATTATATGAGAGAAACTTGATGATACAAAATAAAAATTACCTTTGAATATGTCCATGAATCGTCTGTTTTAGAGTTACAAATCATAAGTTTATTCCATATATATACATTGAAACTAAAAATGAATTTACTTTGAACTTACTCGGCGAATTAATTCGTCTACAATAGCCAAATGACAGTTATGTTCAACTGTGATTAAACATTTCCAAGATTCTTCTAAGTCATTGAGGCTGAAACCATTTGGCGGTTTGAATAATCGATGTGATTCAGCCAACTGACTAGTGTGAATTTCAGTTAACAGGGTCTATTGAAGTTTTTTTTGAAAAAGATTGTAAAATATTCTTAATGTTAATTTTAAGTCAGAACATATATTAGTGAACAATACTGTTTCAATTAGATTTTCATCGGGTTTTACTCTAATATACAGTAATATCTATATGCAGACAAGATAAACATTGTAGTGTTAGCAAAGTATTACTTGGCTTCGTTAAAAGTATGGTTATAGATGATGATGCTGATATTAATCCTTGGTGTTTTAATTTATACAGACCATCTACAGTTTTATCTATGTTTGGAAGGACACAACATACGTACACTATTATATCTATTCGAAAATAGGAAATACAATATTACTGTAATAACTGATTTACCAGATATATTTTCCTATAAAAGGATTTATAATAGCAGGACTAACTCAAAACCCTTTTAAACTTAAGCTTTTTTACCTACTGATGCTTTACGTGAACTAATTTCTAACGATTCTTAATTCTTATTATATACATACATACACAGTAGTATAAATATTATTAGAGAAGGCGAATAAGTTGGAAACTCCACTTGGCTAAATATATAGTACTGGGTAATATGATTATTATTAGTAGTAGTAGTAATAGTTGGTTTTATTTGTTTCAACCATTATCAAACAATCAACCGATATGAATTGCTTCAGTATAAATATTTTCAATTAACCATGGCAACTATTTATTTATTAAATTTTACTGTCATTCAATTGCATTAAAATGACTCATGAACTTAGTAGTAGTGGTGGTAGTGAGATTGTTTGTTAAAATAAAAATGATGAAAATTAGGGAGAGATAGATTTCAACTGATGAATTAATCAACATTTCAGTGATATTAACATTTATGTCATTTTAAAAGGTTGAAAATACAGTTGTAATATGATGAAAGCAATGTAGTTTATTATTATGAATGATTTGGTGGGAAATAGTTTACAAGAGGAACTGTATGGAGATAGGCAACTATTTAAAACAAAGAAGCCCTATGGAACTTTCCCGTTCTAATATGAGCCTTTATAAAAGATCAAACGTAAGACTTACAGGCCAAAGAACCTGAATGTTTTCTCACATTTAATCAAATGAAGAGAATTTGTATTCGTCTGTTTCTATTATCATTTTTGCTTTGTCAACAAATTCCAATGTTATTCTTAGGCAGATCGTACTTTTAATAAGATATGGTGACGAATCTCTTTTGAACCAATAGTAGACAATAACAACTCTTAAATAGGGGAATAATATTCAACGTTCTTGCACCTTGTAAATGAAGTCTATATATGAAGTAAACAAAGCTTGTTTGTACTTATTAAACAACAAGGTCAGATAATGTTTTTTTAAGCCTTAAGTACTTAATTAAAAACCTATATTTAAGTTCAAAACAAACAGTGCACTCACTTCTAATTGGACTAGTTCAGACATTTTTTCTGCTTTTTCCTTTCGGCGCCAAATCATTAAATTCTGTAATTCTTGCTTTACATCCAATTCATTCCTAATTTGATTCGATTCTTGTAGCTTAATTAGCAACTGTTTAATCTGCTTAATATTTACATTTGACCATTTAAGCCATCGTTTTGCTTGTTTGATGTAATCAAATATTTTGTGACTTATAATTAAGCTGTGTTGAATCACTTTACTAACACGTTCCGATGATAATTTTGTATTATGTGAACTGGTTAAATAACGATACCAAGTCGCAACAACAGTCATTACACAACGTTCTTCTAGCCAACATGTTTGAGTAAAATCTTTTGGTTCGATTAGTATTGGTATGCCTAAATGTAGATATGCTCGTTGAAAGATAATTTCTAGCCGTACTTGTAAACTACCAATATGACGTATTCGTTCATAATCAATCAAATCTGGATAATGTCGATGTAGTAAAGCTGCAAATGCTAAACTGTCTCGCCAACTTTTTGTAAAATCAACAACTTCAACCTTAAAAATTGAGGAATCAATTGCTTTTTAACTATATTACAAATACATATACAAAAGACTGTAAACAATACTAAAAATAAGGTAAATACACCCTCTTCGAACAATACAAGCCTGGAACCTTGAACATTTTCAATTCTAATAACAACAGCCAAGACCCGTGAATCGAACTACTCTACCAAGCGGTAGCTGACGAAGGATTTAGGACATCTGGTAAATAAGGCGGAACATTAACTAAATTCTTAATAATTTTTGATACTGCACAGGATATGTTAACTCAGAAGTGGAATACTGTAAATAAGTAGCTACATCTTGTTTACAAAATTATAGTTAACGGCTGACTAAATTTCAAAGAACTGTCACTACAGTAAGCTCTAAATTATATAAGTTCTTATATGATCATCGACTAGTTAAATAAAATCTATTCCTCTAACCGTACAGAGAAGTGAAAGTTACTCAACCATAATCTTCGAATCAATTATTAACGATATTATATTTTAGATGTCAGTTTTATTTCCTGTCATATTGGGAAGATTAGCTTGCTCCGGCACATAAAAAATATTCATGTGCACTAAACCAACAACGTCTAGCTGACTTTTCCTAAACTCTTCAAAGAGTGGTACTCTTTGTTACAATAAGTAATAACTTCTTTAGCCATATTTTGAAAATGGAAGGATTAATTTGGGAATCCTCATCATCAGAGCTAACACAGGTCAATTAAAACTTGAGAACATTTGATATTCATGTGCGTTATTTTAAGTAGCTCGCAAGTAGTTTTATAGAAATATTGTCCCACAATATGATTTGATGGAGCAGTATTGTTAGTCAAGCTTATGGTATTCATGTGTGCGAAATTGAGTTCTTTTTGTAAGCTTTAAATCCAAGAGTAACTTTTATTCAATAATGGACAATAAAAATAACGATACCGATATGTTTCATTTCCTGTTCTCATACTAAACAACAACACAATAAGAGAACATTAACAAAATTATAAAAAAGTTGAATTAACGAGGACAAACATCGCGAAATAAGTGTACAAAATGTAGTTCAGAAAGAATATGTTATACTGACGTATTCAATTCTAGCTATACGAACACCAACATGGGAAGAAAAACAGTTGCTGTTTCACTGAGTAGTAAAGGAAGATATCTTTAGTTTACTATATGAGATATCTGAATTCTACACGGATCGTTTTTTCAGCAAGGTGATAAATTCTAATAACTGTCAGCCTTCAAAACCAATAACTCCATATATTGTTACAATTTATCTATGGCTTTTATGCCAGAACATTCTTCTTCACCTTACTAAAAGGAACAACAAGTAATTTTGTAATGACGTGTGATACTGACTGATATGATCATTCAAACATTATTCGAGATACCTAGTGAATTTTTCCAGTCAGCTTGTTCTGATAATGAGTAACTGGTAGTGCAGTTCAAAGACAGAACACTGAAATTGTCTTAGATTATAAAATAATTATTTTTCAATATGATTCAATATTTTGATAATTTTCGTTCCATCATAACACCATCCACTAAAACAAAATAAGGACTTGACACACATGACATTGATCGCCACTCAGTGATCAATCAGTTGTGATTACATCTCAGTCCTACATGAGGTCGGTCTCAGGCCCGGATAGCTCAGTGGTAACGTCTCTGACTGTGAAGCTGGGTGACACGAGATCGAATCCGCCAGAGAGCACCAGTTCCTTCAAGATTACAGGTACGCCTTGCTGACGAGTGCCAAAAAGCACGAAACCCGGGTCCAGGGTTTCCTGTTGACTACCTCCAACCACCACCTAATCTCAATATATGGTGCCCGCAGTGTCGAGTCACCTAGACTGGTGGCCACATTGCAACATGATCGATAGCATTCGATCTGCACTAATAATAAGGACTAGACACGCATGACATTGATCGCCACTCAGTGATCAATCAATTATGAAAACTCATTTGTGCATGATTTGAATGGAAAAGAAGTCCCTAATTAAAATGAGTACCAGTTATTTGTAACACACATCATTTTGTAATTAGACTTTAGTTATAAAAATACTTTGATTGTATTTATGAATTAATTGATGATTACAATAATACTCAATGTTTATTACTTGAGGATATCCAGCTGTTTTAAGCTGGCACCAAAGAAGTAAAGCATCTCTTGCATGTCTAACCTCACCAGTTTCATCTGATTCTTTGACAACGATATCCTGAACCTAAAACATTATAATAAATCACAGAATGAAAGTTATTCATAATAAATATAGATTACATGAGATAGATAGAAAAATGACGAAGTAGATTATTGAATGTGGTGTACTACATAAACTTTCGCTTATAGTTTTTTTCATGAATCTTATCACACTTATTTTTAACTATAAGTTGAATAAATTCACTTGGTATTGTTTACTTGAATCTTCCCATTGATGAATAGTACTGCAATTGATCAGTCTGTTATTGGCATTTGTGCTTACTGTGTGTATTGCCTTGATTCACAAGCATTATTAGCGGCTAGTAGTGGAATCAAGGACGGGTGTTTCGTCTTATTTGGGACTTGTCAGATGGATGTCCCAAATAGGACAAAACACGCGTCCTGGGTTCCACTACTAGCCACTATCCATCTTTGTTTATAAGATGAATAATTTTATGTGTGAATATGTAAACGTGCCAAATAAATACTAGCTGCAGATAATTATATCTCTTTCTTTTCATTTTTGAACCACGGTACTATTTCAAATAAGCTCAATATAAAAACTACAATAATAGTAGTCGTTTGACATCAGTCGGAAATATGACATTCGACAATAATTGTTCTTTTCTTGGTTATTATTCAACTTAACTTACAAAGACAATTATGCTATCATGAGGAATTCGCTGTTCAGATGTTACTGTCAGGACTATAAATTATCTGTATATTGTTCAGATATTTCAATCCTCGAAATAACATTTGAGATATTGCAACTTAGAAATAATTTAAATGATAGTGTTCTTTCGCTTCAAACTTAGTGTAAAATCCTAATTGGTTACATCATAATGCTGTTTAAATTCAATATCTTTTCAGGTAATCTAAAAGCTTTGATGAAGAACACGCACTGCAACGTGAACAATTGTCGTCCAATCACCGTGCATTTGCAGATATTCTCTTACTAGATGTGTAGACACCTTCTTTGTTCCCCAAAAAATAAAAAAATACTTGTTCGTTTAACTGAATGAAAAAAAGATGTACTTTAATTTCAGAAAATAGTCAATGTAAAGATTTTTTTCACCGTGTAATTCTGTTTTACTTCTGCTGAGGTTGATTAACAGGAATCGGTTTTCATTTTTCTATTCCTCAAATTGCACGTTTTCAAGTTAATGCAATAGGAGCCAAAAAATTTACATAAAACAGCATTGTAATTTTAGCAGTCCACTACCCCGTAACTCACCTGGTCATTGGTGTGCCAAAATCTTTCAAGAAACTCAATGTCCAAGATGATGATGGATATATTTTGAATTTTAAAGTAGATAAATATAGACAATATTTAATCGTACCAAGTGACTAAGTGATAACTACTCACGTGATTTAAAAACTAACAAAAACTCAGGATAGAACATCCACAAGACAACAAATTTAGCTAGCAAAATCACTTTTTCTTGTTGGCAGTTATATGCTTTTACATAGATTTCAGAAGCGAAAATTTACGCACTTAAATGTCATAAACATTTTATAGATATCAGTCAATCGATCACTCTCTTGTCAATGGAATAAGACCTGACCCCTCACCTTTGTTCCTGCCCAACATATCTGGCAGATATTTAAGTAAATTATACCCATAAAAAAGTCATCTTATCAGATTTGCTAATAATTCTCCTCGCTGACAGCACGAAAATGATCTAAGATGGTGGAATGCAACACACTACGTAAACAATTAATGTAATTCAACATTTCATTACAACATAAACATACAGTCTTTCAAAATTGACTTGCCTGGTAATGTAATATAATTGTCCATATTAGACCTAATGTAATTCTTGGGTTACCATCGACAATATCTTGTGCACCGACATTTTCAAGATGTGCTCCTTCTTCATAAAGAAAATCAAGTGCCTTATTGATGTTCTCCAATTGATGAATTCGCATTCTGCTGTGGTTAATTCTTGTCTGTAATCGAAAGTCAACTACTGTAAAACTATCAGTCCGCAGTTTATAAATCGGTAGTAAATGTTTGCAACAGTTTTGATTCTCAGGTACGGGATACACGATTTTCAATTGCGTTAGCCGCTGAAGATTAGATTATCGTTATCTCTACAGCTAAAACCTCAGTATACTACAATAGATGACACAATAAGTCAAAGGTATTCCTCATCATATATTAGCTGACTAGAAGAAATAGTGCCACATTTTCGACTTTAGTAACTGGTTAGCGTTCAGGGAAGCATTTAACAAACCCATGATGAAAGTCAAATGAAACCATAATTATTTCATTGCGGTTGGTTAGATATTTTAGAAAAAGCGTTAAGGCATTGCGCTTTATGAGGATAGGAACATACATCTCACACACCACTCTGGATTCAACTTCACCGAAAATAAATAGTTCCCATAACGATGTTGCTAAGCTTCTCTTCAGGGAACTATAACTGAACAATTCTAACTTTAGTCACTCTTTATCTGTAGACTATAAGCCTAATCAAATCGCTGATAACGCAGTAGTTTTAAACGTCTTTACTGTGTGAAAGTACACCAAACGTTTTGTAAAAGCTAATCACTGCTTCGTCCCGTTCCCTCGGCTCTTCAGAACCGTACAGTTGTATGGGATTACTTAGGACAGCATTTAAAATTAGTATCAGAAAGGGTTTTGTGGAGATTGCAGTAATAAGATAATCAGTTTTGCATTAATAATTATTATATTAAATACTAGTAATACAATATTATTTACTACATACTGTACTAAATACAATCCATTGTAAATAATAATTTAAAGATATTCAGCATTTATCTAAAACACATAGCTATAAGGGGCTTAACATTCTACTTAGTAGCCAGATAAATCTATTATCATTTCTGTTTTTCTTGACTTTTTATTTATTTACATGGATAAACTATCCAGAAATGTGGATATATCGATATATTTTAGTAATTGGAGAAAGCGAACGACTCTTTGTTCAAAAGTAACTCACTTTCGCAAAAATCTCTATGATGAATTATGTCTATAGAACTAAACATACCAAAATACCAACCCCTTTAAATTGTGTTTTCATTAGCTTTGTAAACATGTGTGAACATACTAGGTTAATACATTTTGTTACGTACTTAGTAATTTGGTGATAAGTTTATATTGGAAAGCTGTTTTTGAGAAATATTGTCAAGAGAAAAGTTCACAAGTAATCTTTATGTCTTGTATGCTAAGATAGAAGACCAGACTCTGTTTTTGATAATATGTGTAGTCTATACAATAAACAGGTGAACTGATATTATGGAAACAAAATATGACATTAATCAATTTCTTATTTTTCAAATACTTTTTATTTGCGACAGCACACGTATATCCTACTCTTTTCCGTCATATTTTCCTGAAATTAGACACTTCAACTGGATAGTCAGCACAGACCTCACTAATATTGCGTGGTCAGAAGAGTTCCTTAAATTCAGCTAATCAGAGATAAACTTGACAGTCAGTCGATTATCTGACAGCATACGAAACTCTATATGTTTGGTATTTTCATTAATTGATTAGTTTTTACTGGTCATCATGACCTCACATCTTCTTCCAAGTCTTCATGTAATAAACAAAACTTACGATCCATTTAAGGAAAACTATTTGTTTAACATTTCATGAACTTCTGTTTAAACATAAGATTTTGTAGCTCACTTTCTGTATTTATTGTTAAGATCAGTGGACATTATTTCAAATATCAAAACTATGAAACATAATACAATCGATCTGAACATTTCATAGTAATTCAACTTTTAATATCCTGTTATTGATTTAAACTTTTCGGATTTTATCTGCCAGATTGTAATACATCTAAAATGACTTCATAACATTAGACACAAGTTTTCTAAATATTCAAATTATTTGTAAGCAATGATGGATAGTGGCTAGCAGTGGAATCCAGTTTGACGCGCGTTTCGTCCTACTTGGGACTCGTCAGCTGGATGTACCTATATCTCAGAGTTGATGTTCATTCTGGGACTCGAAAAGCTTGTGAATTAAGGCAATATCGAGGCATACGCACGGTATGCACGTATGTCAATAACAGAGTGATCAATTGCAGTTTTAAACCTCAATGGGAAGATACAAGCCAAACAATGCCAAGTGTATTCTAATTATTGTTCATAAATCTTTTTATGATTTATATATATATATATATATATATATATATATATATATATATATATATATATATATATATATATATATATATAACGTTTTCACTTCTAAACAACATCCCATCAATCAGCTTTACTTCACCTAACCATTGAGTCTCAGTTAGAAGAAATAATCTACAACATTATTGTTTTAAGAATTAATGTAATTACAGAAATATTCTAAGACTTTGAATGTCTTCATTACAAACTTTTTAGTCATTCATATAGTCGGACTTCTTTAGTTTAGCCTATAAACAATGTTTCGTATTTTACAACTTTTGAACATGGTGGAGAAGATTTGTAGCTCAGCTAAATGATTTTGATGAAGTTTTGTTTTCTGTGCTGGATAGTTTCGTCGTGGAAATTTCATCATTCTACTGAAGACATCATCAGTACAAACTTCAGGTAGAATAACATCAATTATCGTTTAGCTATTTTCCATGAGTAAAATACATAGCAACAAATTCTTATATAAATTGCAATTATGTTTAAAGTCATTTGATAAATTGTGTAAACCAATTTATGGAAAACAACAAATACCAATAAAACCAATCAGTTTAATGTATAATCAACAAATCTACTAAACAAAAATGGTTTTGACAGATATGATGACTTTTATTTTTATATTAAGTTTCCGATCCCGTTTTATTCTTGATTTGACAAGTTCATAAGCCATTCACTTCAATTTCTACTGTGATACATTTTTTCTTCATACTTCAGGTAGTTATGAATCCGCATACATAGAATCTGCAATCTCATCTCTTCATATCCTTAGAAAACTTGTATTCATTTGACACTTGGAAATATGTCAACAAATATTGTATAAGCTTGATGAAGTATACTTTCTATTCAATGATCAAAATTTTTATTCATATAATTAAATAATTTACTTTCAAATAAGTAGTTTAGTATTTCTTATAACACTATTTCAGGTTATCATTTGATATAATTAGTTTCCTTCCCTTAATCTATACAGTAGACTAATAAATGTCTAGATATTATCATTTTAAGTTATATCTCATTTTCACTGCCAATCTAATTAAATTAATTAACAATGAAATATGCCCAGCAAATTGTTTTAGCAAGTATAATTCAATAAAAAAGTAAAAGGAGGTTAACATATTGTATAAGTGAATGTATCTATTCCTATAAAACATGAATTCAGTTTACTTATACTATAATCTCTAACTACCTTAGAGTTGAGCTGATTGAAAGGTTGATAAGAAGCAATATGAAATGAATAAATGTTTATTATTACTCTCATTTTCAATCATAATCAAGATGAAATCTAACTGTATAAAAATTTCTTAGATATCTTAGATACTTATGTTATACAATTAAAATTATGTCTATATATGTATATGTACTGACCTTCAAAAGCAGTAAAAATGGTATGCTACGATGATATTTTCATTTCATGTCCAAATCCCTGTGTACAGTTAACTATTTGCTTAACTTTTAAAATCTACTGTATTATCCTATACAAGTAAAAATTCAGTGTGTAGATCTTAAGATTTACCAAAGAATCAAAGATTATTATTATTAGTAAATTCATTTTCAAATTTCTTAATAACAAAATATTTACCCTTTAGATGACTAATAATTCAATATTGGAGAAGTTTGAACACTTTTAGGGGGAATACCATAAGTTATTATTATTATTATGCCAAACTGAAACGTTGTTTTTAAATACTCATAACAAATTACATCCTACTATTGAAATAACTAAATTTTGGTGATGAATTTCATACACTACCAGCTAATTAGGAATGGTTCATTTTATCTTCACACATTCTCAAACGAAATAATAACTTCTATTCCCTGCCACTGTCACTTACTATAGATACTTTTGTAATAAATTAGTGAGATTTTCGCAGGTTTCATTCACATATTTAGATCCCAAAATGAATAGTTTCTTAGGTTTTTCTTCAATATAATATATGCTGATCTATTTTCAAATGTTACTAATTCTTACCTCTTAAAACTACTAATCACTTATATATATTCGACATTTTTTGTTTCAAAAAGGACAATATAATGTTGGTTCATATGACCATATAGCTCACACTTTTTCACACAGCTATACATAAGCATTTGAGGATCTGACTCAAATCCTACAGTATAGTAACTGTCAATCATTTTGAAAAATAAAAGTCAACTTAATTATCTCCCTATATATAGGTTGAACTTGCTCCTCTAAAATAGTTTACAATGATTACAGTTTATCTATCAATTATGTCTTAGATCTTTTAACAAGAAGTATTTTCGAAAATATGACTCCTTGAATAGATTGATTTCCTACGAACAGATTGAAATGATTGAATAAATCCGCAAAATGATATGTACATTTGAACCACAATTTCAATAAAGCTAATTTAGTTAATTTAAAACGATTCTCATGATATTCTAATTATGTAATCAAATCGATTTTTTGTTCAGCACATTTTTTCTATTCGATTATATTACACAAAATAATCAATAACTGTTATCTATCCATCGTTATTTCAATAATCAATAGTCTGGATTCTCACATCATCATATCGAAATGATCCTCTTTTTTTTATATGTACAATTTTAAGACAATAGTCAAATGATATTTTTGTTACCATGGTGAATATCATGCTTGTTTGAAAGAAGAATTCGTACATCATTCTTTTTATAAAAAATAAAATGATGTATCATGGCCAAAAAAAGAAATATTTCAAAGAAAAAGGTATCGATATTTTTATTGGAACTTACAAATTGTTTTCCTGAAAGTAATTCTAATAAGCGAAGTAAAATTCTTCCATCACGTAAATCATTATATAGTTCTTTCACTAAATAAGTATGTCCAATAGCATATGATCTATGTGTAGATGATGATGTTTCCCATGATGGTGAATGTGTTAATCTATTCATTGAACTATTATGATATGCCCAACTATTATGTAGATCATTTGGATAAGATAGATAAGTGAGAAATTCCGATGAAAAGACTCCGTCTAATTGAGCATTAATCCAGTTGGTAAACAAACATTTTTGTATATGATCACGTTCATCTATGTAGTTAAAAAATTTTTTTAATAATTAAATTTGTACAACTTAATGGAATGAACAAATCAAGTTAAATACCAAAGAATAATTGTTTAAATGCATAACAATAATTCTTCTTACCTCTACACACATAGTTGAAAGTATTGCTTACACTACATGTATGCTTAGTATGAAATCTAGTCAAAACGCATATATTAATATTTATCACTACTGACATTGATATGTAATCGAAAAAATGACAAGTAAACAAATAAGTTGACTTTCTATTGATTTTCTGTAACAAGATTCATAACTGGATTTCGCATTCTTCTCAGCACTAAAAAGTTGATATACATCTAAGATCATATAATATTGGAATTGTTTGAAAAGCTAGAAAATAACTGAATTGATTTCCATATTACAAGCTCAAGAACGCGTTCCATCATGGTCAAGAAATTGAGCTGCCAAACTTAACAAATAAAGACACCCTTCCTCATCTCAAAGATAAAACATCATAAGATTCTCACAATGCAATTTAAAAACGAAAGCGATTCTAGGAGCCAATTTTAAACACTCTCCGGAGACCAATATGACTCAGTGATCAAAACATATTTATTTATATGACTTTACTGACATCTGCTGATGATTGGTCAAAGAAAAAAAAACAAAATTTACTAGGCTTAAAAAAAGTTTACCATAAACTAGATGTTGTACGGCTAATATATTTTACGATGAATAATTATCTGGACTCAGTAGCAAAGGGGATAGCAAGTTAGTATGAAGCACAACACACTGGGTTCAGGTCTCTGAGTGAAAATCAACACTGAGATACAAGCATATTTAGCTGATGAGTCTCGAACAAGACAAAACGAGCATTAAATATTCTGATACTAAGCATTATCCATTTCTGCTTAAAAAACGCTTAGCACTGATAGCAATACTGAAGCAATCCGTTCTAGATAGATATATACCAAAAAGGACTGACCGATTGCAGTCTGTATAACTAAACAAGTACTATTATTATTATTATATCATTATAGTAAATGAAGATAGAATAATGTATACCATAAGAATTTCATATTCAATTGTTTTTCTAATCTAAACAATTAAAAAAATTTCCGAACGTCTTTCAAAAAAAATTAATTTTATTAAAACAATATTTATATATTTTTAATAGAATTATTAGATTGTAAAAGAAACAAAACAAAACAACAATGTTCTTTATGTTTACTCAAGAATAGTGAACTCAAAAACCTGTTATGTTCAGACAGTAAGTAAGTAAGTAACACGTGAATTTCACTCATATAAATAATAAACATCATAAATGCATTTTGAAAAAGGGAAAAACAAAAGAAAAAAAGAACGAAAATACAACTTCTACTACATACACACAAATGACAAGGATTCAAGTTGCTTATTTTAACAGAAATGAAAAAAAAAAAAAAGAAAGAAAAAATATTGGCAGACTGAGTTAAAGTAAAACGATGAAACGATGAAAATGAATTATTTGATGAAAACACAAAAAAAATTTATTATTTTTATTGAAAATAAAAGAAAATTTCAAAAGAAAAATTTCCCTATTGGGAACAGATTCATTGTTACGTTGTTAGTAACTGTATTAACATTTTTCACAGAAAGATGAATATTTTTTCTCCGAACCAGTTAATTCAAATTAATCTAATTCATTTACAATTGATTAATCACTGGGTGGTGATCAATGGAAGGTCTTTCTTAGTTCAGATCAAATCCGATCGACGAAGTTGCAATGTGACCGCCAGTCTAGGTGATGGGGTCGAATCCGTCAGGGAGTATCAACTCCCTCAAGATTACAGGCACACTTTGCTGACGAGTGCCAGGTAGCACAAAACCTAAGTTCATGGCTTCTTATTGACTACCTCAAGCCACCTTCTAATCTAATTCATTCAGCATATTGAGAAGTAAAAATAATAATCGATAAATAAATAAACAGGATGGAAACTATTTTTTCCACAACTTATTTTGTATTTGTAAGCAACTCATCATTCATTGTCATAAATAAGTTGTTATGTCCAATTCAACTGTCTTATCGCTTATGTCAGCTAACTTGAAAACGATCTTAGATCGAAACTATATATCTACGCTTTCAAATGAATTATTCACTTAGGATATTTTGAGACAATCAGTCTAATGTACAGCTAATTTTTCTTAGATATTGCATCTGTTAAGAAGCCAATGATGATCAGTGAATATTAAACAATTGTTTCACACTAAATCTACTTACAACGTTATTAGGTAACATATCTAAACGTATTTGTTATCCATCATTGCAAGAAATCTCCTAGTAGGTAAAAAACTATTTAGTGTTACGTGTTTAAAAAAAATTATGTTTCATTCTCTAAAAGTAGAGTTTAATGTCCCAAAGTATCTGTACAATTTTTTGAATTATGAATTGGTGTACCTCATATTTATTGAATGAAACTGTCTAATTGTGAAGCACGTAATGTATTTTCAGACAAACTTAATCGGATCAAAGAAAAATGACCTATCAGAGATTCGAACCCAGGACCTACTGGTTTCGCGCGCGAGCACTTAACCACTAGACTTATTTATAATTAAGGATTTGAATCAATGAAATAATTAATTGTGAATGGTTAGTGAAATAATCAGATATGTTCATTACAAAACTTTAATTAATCTTTATAACTGTATACAAAGTAGCTTTCTACAGTTTAAAAAACGTTTCTCGTCTACCATTAAATAAAACTTTCTATTTGGAAAATAATCTGTAAAAGAATAATTTCCAAAAGATTTCTAGAACTATTTCTATCCATCCTTGTAATAATGAAATTATCAAAGAATTCTATATGTCGGTTTGTTATTGTTATTATTATTATCGTCGTTATTGTTATTAAATAAATAATTCTATTGACTTTTGTAAATATATAGTAATTAGACCTTCTCAATTACACAGAAATCAAATTAAATACTAACCTAAACATTGGGATGAGGGTGCTTTGTCAATGTAGAGAACATATAGTTATGTTCGTCGAACCCTTTTGAAAATTGTTGACGAAATCAATTACAAATACGAAATAATTAATAAGAATAATGTCAAATACTGTTTATCTACTGATGACCTATTTTAATTAAATACCAATCTAAGTCGCCACAATGCTATAAATTAATATATTCCAGAGAAGAAATTTGTGGATATTATAGTAATTTAGTAGTTGAATTCATAGGTACGTTGAATGTAGACCACCATGAAAAAGCCTGGAAGCTCTGAACGGCCATTTCGTCTTAGTATGGGACCCCCCAGGAGTGGTTGAAGTTAGACATTAACACCGTAGGATGCCAGCTCAGTGGTTTAGAGATTAAGAGTACGCGCGCGATGCCGAAGGTCCTGGTCTCAAATCTCGCGATGTGGGATCGTGGAGACGCACTTCTTAGGAGTCTCGTACTAGAACGAGGCAGCCGTCCAGTGCTTCCAAGTTTTCCATGGCAGTCTACCTTCAACTGACCCATGAATCCAACTACTAAATTTATACTCTTTTTTAATTTTTCTATGAACCCACTTATATATTTGTGCAACAGACAGAAATGTAATTACTATTTCCAAAAAATGTTTACAATTTACTGTTTACAAAATGTTTAGTCTCACTATCTATTGATATTCATAGACATCAGCTGTTATTTTTTTTAAAAACGAACACTCCAAAATATATTAGCGTAGAATGTAAAGCAGAATAAATATGCTTGTCTACTTTATACAAACCATAAATAAAATTTCAATAGTATATTATCTTATTTGTAATTAATTTAATTTATAGCTAAGTTGTATCTTTTTTTACCAGTACAAGCAGAATAACGGTGAAATGGCAATTGATTAAAGAGACCAATTTTTTATTCACAGCTTTTAAAATAAAATAAAAATTACTCTAACTGATTTTTGATTTGGTTTCCATTTAAAGCTTCTCTCATCCCATGTACAAGTAAGTGGCTATCAGGACTCAGTAGCTAAGTGAATAACACGATGGCGTTCGAAACAAACGGTACTAGGTTCGAGTCCATCCCAGAGTGAACATCAACCCTGAGACACAGGTACATCCAGCTGACGAGTCCCAAATAGGACGAAATGAGCGTCCTGGATTCCATTGCTAGCTACTATCCATCTTTGCTTATAGTATTCATTTACTTTTAAGAATGGAAGATACTTTCAAGAATGAATGATCTGTCATACCAATAATGAGTTCGCATACATCACGACATAGCGTGCACTCGAGTTCAATTCCTGAAAACAAGCTTCTTGATTAACTACGCAAAAACTATGAAGATTTTTTTCTTTAGATTGACTACATCTATTAAAAGTTTCTTAGTGAACGCTTAACATTAATCAGACTATCGCTCATTAATTTGAGAAGGTTGAAAGTTCTTTCGCAAAATGTTAATTATCCAGCAAATTTCAGTGTAATAGGCTTAACTACAAGTCATTTAGAGTAAAGCACATATGCATCTTCTAAAGCAAAACTAGCTTATTCAAATGTTAATCTTAATTTGACAATTATGAAGAATTGCAGTTAAGAGGATAAGGATTATTCATGTTGCCTGTGACAAACTATAGGCGTATTAAGTAAAACATATCCTAATAATAAGAAGGTGTAATGTCACCAGATTCACACTGAGACTTCCTTTTAAATGTGAAATGTCAAGTTATACTCAATGAATGGGATAGCATAAGATCTATCTGAAAGTTAGATTGAAAAGGATGAAATGTAATCAATCCGTAGAACGATCTTATCACATTTTGTAATTGGTGAGTTGTATTGAGTCAAACTAAACTGCTTGAGATAGTTTTATTACCTTATCAAACCACTGGACTCACTAGTTCTCATAATCGTTCAGAGGTATTTGATTTTTGATAATCCTACAGCTGATATTAGTCTATGGTAAAAACTGTCTTCAAGGTTAATTAGCCACATCAAACTATAGTTCAAGTCTCACTAAACTGTGACTTTAGGGTGGTAATACGGTATTCATTCATGACCGG